TGAATTTTTCAACTTGCTCCAAATTGACCAACTTTTTTTTTAAAAACATCTACAAGTTCTCAAAAGTTCAAATCTGACCTTAGATTTCAGATTTGACCTTTCATTCACCTTCAGTGACTTTGAAAAGGTCAAAAAATTGATTTTCTAAATTGATATTTTGGATTTAAATTTAGGTCAGCTTAATTACAAAACACCTACTGAGGTCTGAAAAAGTGAAATTTTCAAGGTCGAAGGTCAAGGTCATTAAACTAGGTCACAAATGATGTTATCCAAGTTTCTCAAAGTTTGAGACTACAAATCAATTCTTGTCATCAAAATTCCAAGAAAACCGCTGACCTGTTCAACTTGAAATTTTTACACATGCAATAGCAGACAAGTGCCAAGATCTGATTAGGTTTAGGGCATGCTGGGTAAACTACGTGGCGGCCATCTTGAATTTTTCAACAAATCTTGTCATCAAAATTCCAGGAAAACCACTTATCCGTTCAACTTGAAATTTTTACAGATGCAAGAACAGACTATTGCCAAGATCTGATTAGGTTTTGGGTATGCTGGCTGAATTACATGGTGGCCATTTTGAATTTTTCAATTTGGCGGCCATTTTGAATTTTTCAACTTGCTCCAAATTGACCAACTTTTTTTTTAAAAAACATCTACAAGTTCTCAGAAGTTCAAATCTGACCTTAGATTTCAGATTTGACCTTTCGTTCACCTTCAGTGACCTTGAAAAGGTCAAAAAAGTTGATTTTCTAAATTTATATTTTGGATTTAAATTTAGGTCAGCTTAATTACAAAACGCCTACTGAGGTCTGAAAAAGTGAAATTTTCAAGGTCGAAGGTCAAGGTCATTAAACTAGGTCACAAATGATGTTATCCAAGTTTCTCAAAGTTTGAGACTACAAATCAATTCTTGTCATCAAAATTCCAAGAAAACCGCTAACCTGTTCAACTTGAAATTTTTACACATGCAATAGCAGACTAGTACCAAGATCTGATTAGGTTTAGGGCATGCTGGGTAAACTACGTGGTGGCCATCTTGAATTTTTCAACAAATCTTGTCATCAAAATTCCAGGAAAACCACTTATCCGTTCAACTTGAAATTTTTACAGATGCAAGAGCAGACTATTGCCAAGATCTGATTAGGTTTTGGGTATGCTGGCTGAATTACATGGTGGCCATTTTGAATTTTTCAATTTGGCGGCCATTTTGAATTTTTCAACTTGCTCCAAATTGACCAATTTTTTTTTTAAAAACATCTACAAGTTCTCAGAAGTTCAAATCTGACCTTAGATTTCAGATTTGAGCTTTCGTTGACCTTCAGTGGCCTTGAAAAGGTCAAAAAGTTGATTTTCTAAATTAATATTTTGGATTTAAATTTAGGTCAGCTTAATTACAAAACACCTACTAAGACTACAAATAAATTCTTGTCATCAAAATTGTAGGAAAACCGCTAACCTTGTCAACTTGAAATGTTTACAGATGCAAGAGCAGACTAGTGCCAAGGTCTGATTAGGTTTTGGCCATGCTGGGTGAATTGCATGGTGGCCAGTTTGCTCTTCAAAGTGCGATATTTATCACTGTGTGTCTTGTTCTTCAAACTTGTTCCATTAAAAGCAAAACAAAAATGCCTTTCTGTTGTATATCAATATTGAATATTGTGTTGTTTGGAATAAAAGTAATATCAATGTAACGAGCATATTTTGTCTCTCCAAATATTTATTTTTGTAATTTTCTAAAAAGAATTGACCGAGAAACAACAGATTGAAAGTGAGCAGTCAACTAAACTTGATAAAATGACGTACTTGTCCTGAAAAATAACATCTGCGAAAAACGTGAATGTTACAACCCATTTTGATGCTAATTCCGCACGCCTAATCCTGATCAACAATTTTTGAACCAACACTTTTCTGAATCGGAATATCAGAATATACTCTTCTTTACGATGGCCATTCCGTTTTTTCTGGTTCTTGATCGGAAATATGATTTTCCAAGAAATCATTCAAAGTAACTGTTACGCGGAATATGGCATACATTCATGGTTGCGCGGTATTTGTGATACGGGTGAATATGCCATACTCACCTGCGGTATATGGCATATTCCGCAGGTAAGTATGCGATATTCCGCAGTGAATATGCGATACATTGATTTCAGTGACTACCCGATACTCACCTGCGGAATATGTCATACTCACTTTCGGTATATCCCATTTACCGCAGGTGAATATGACATATACCGCAGGTGAAAACGTGATACAGAAAGCCTTGATTTGATTGGTTGCGAGAATCGACTCTAAATGTAAAACTACGCTGGATTATAAATATTGTTAGCGTCGAGTACTAATATATGAATCCTGGATTGATTGAGTACGTTTATCACGTGAGATTGGTGAGTGATACTTCTGCTAAATTAATATATTCGATACACTGTAGTGTTCATTCAGTAATCTTTATAATAATTTATAAAGTTTTATTTGTTCGTTCCATCGATGCAATTGACAATTGCGTACTTCCGTATCACGTTCTCATTGGTAGTTTTGTATGCCATATACCGCAGGTGAATCTGTCATACACCGCAAGTGAATATGCCATATTCGTTGCGGAATATGACATATTTTTGTATCGTGTTTACCGCATAACAGTAACGTGACTATGTTTTGCCCTTTAAAAAAACGGAACGACTCTGACGTGGCCAATAATATTACAGTGGTTTATTGTTTAGTTATCCCAACGAACGAAGTTCGGTAGGGATATAGTGAAGCCCTCCGTCCGTCCGTCAGCCAGTCAGTCCGTCCGGAAGATAACTCAAATACTAGTCGACGGATTTTCTTCATATTTAGTGGAAAGATGTATATTGGTGAATAGTTTTACGCAAACATTTTTTTTTCAAGATGGCCGCCGCTTTAAAAATGACGGGACTTTTTCGCAAAAATCATACATTTTTCATTCTAAACCAAAGTAATTTGGTAGTATATTCGCAACATCTATCTTTTTCACATGTATTCTGTGTTTTTCATCCTGACCCCCAGGGGCCGTGTATGGGGGGGGGGGGTCAGGAAAACAGAAATTTTCGCTAATTTTAAGATCTTTCTGAAGTATAGCTTTATTATACTCAAATGAGAGGCAATTAAGAGTAGATTGCAAATATTGTGTCTTTTTTCTGATTCGAGCCTCGTAAAATTCAAAATGGCCGTCTAATGTACGATTTCGCCATAATTTTCCGATCCCTTCAAAGTATGGCTATATTAAACTCAAATTGAAGGAATTTCGGAGTAGATCACAATTATGGTATTATTTTTCAGATTTGTACCTCAGAAAATTCAAAATGGCTGCTTTGCAAGAATTCGCAATTCTAAAATTTTAATTTTTCAATTTTAACCAAAGTAATGAGTAAAATTGATTGGAATTCGGTAATTGATATTTTGTTCGTTGGGATTTGCTACTCCGCGGAGTTGCCCTTATCTAGTTATTACCTGATTAGTACTGCGGAATGGTGTCTAAGACAATGTGCCATGGTGCTTACGAGTATTCAGAATTCACGTATCAAATACAGGGCGAGCCAAAAAAGGTAACCCAAACAATTGTATGTTAATAACTCAATCATTCAGCATGGGTTTAAAATCATATTTTGCACAATTAAACCTTGATAATGTTCTTCCATTCTACTAAGTGTCATGGGTTTATCCCTAATAGTCGCGATTTTAAGGCCATTTACGAAACAACCTTAAAATGCCGAAATGTGCCTCACTAACCGAAGTTCCACAAGATTTCTATATATCAGTTTGCCTATGGGGCTATTTTCTACACTAACAACACTTGAAACATTGAGAGATAAGAAGGAAGTTGAGAGCCATAACACGAGATGTTTATGCTGTGTTGTGAACAACTACGCCCAACGTTCAAGTTGGCCACAAGACATATTGCATGTTTTGTAAAATGGGCAAAAAATTGTGACCACTTCTCAGAGAGATAGACCACTGAAACTTGGTAGAATGACAATACACTGGACAAGGCCAATATGACACTAAACCCACCAAACTACCTTTTTTGGCTCACCATGTATGAATGAACTCGCTTTATTACTTTTTGAGCTATACTAAAATAACAGGTAAAAATGGTGGCTATTTTCAAAATGGACGCCTTCTAGTGTAATAAAACAGTGCGCCATCGAATATGAGTAAAATCATTCTACTGCTTTTCAAGTTACAGCAAAAATCTACCCTGCATGCAGCCTCTAGTTATAAACTACCCTCTGCCTAGTATATCGTTTAGTTTAGCAGCTAGTCTTGCTTAAAAGACCCTGTACTTCCCCCCCCCCCCTTTATCCTTGCCAGGTAAAGAGAGGGGGTGGGGGTGGACTATTTAGCAGCCCTCACCCACAATCATGGCTAAAAGCAACAAATTTAAAATTTCCTGAAAATTGAATTGCGACGCGGACCAAGCAAACGTTGGGTTTTGGCGGGTCCTCCCTCCAAGAAATTTTGGAAAAATGAGATTTGAATAAGTGCTTTTAGAGTAATGTAGAGGTAGACCCATAACATATACTTTCAAATGTGGAGGAAAAAGTATTTTTCATAGGAAAAAATTTAACAAATATGACTTTAATTTTGAAACCCTTGTTTGACCCCTACTCCCCCCTAGAAATACATCCAGATTTGTATTGAACTTAATGGGGTCAGATTTCGGTCAATTTTTTCCTGAAATTCCCTGAAATTCCTGAAGACTTTAAGCCATGAACTCTGGTCATAAATCCTTTTACACCAACCGCACTGACCTATTCAGCCAATCAGCCTGCTGGAAGGAATAAGCGCTAATTGTGTGCACAATTTAAAACATATTGCTATTAGTTTTATATTTTGTACCTACACAGTAATTTACTGTCCATATGGCACAAAATTTTGAACTTACGAGCAGAACTTCTACCCCCATAAGGCACTTCACTATATCCCTATTTCTTGGGATAAAAATACATTCAGTACCACAATGAACATAAAACAGCACGTCATATCACCATTTGTATTGTAGCACAAATAATTATCAATAAATTTCATTCAGTCTTTTGATGTTTCCATAAAGTTCTGATTGTGCTGCAATGTTCCATGGTTGTTTCTTGGGGGGACAAGTTGCTGGTTAGGCAGTTTGTTCACCAGCCCCTGGCATGCTCCTGATGATGTCAGAATCTCCTGGAATCACACAAAATACAAAGAATAAAGATCAGTTTTAATCAAGTCTGTGAAAAAGGTACAAAAAACTCACTTTTCAATTAGTGAAAAGTTCCTCACAAGTCAAGAAAGTACTGCCTAACAAAACATCTTTTTTTCAAATCAATTTAGACTATTTAAATAGTTAGAAAACATAACATAAAAACATATTAAAATATAGATACAACATGATTGCATTTGTACAGTCATATATTGAAACATGAACCTTTTGATACCTCGAATTTATCTTTAAATATAAGGCCAGTGATTGAGATTTTTCAACTTTAATCCAAATGGTCATTCTCATATTATTTCAAGAGTGCTTTACAAATATACAAACCTGGATCAGTGATGCTCAAGGTGGTCACATGGAAGTATTTACCACAGGATGTTCCAAGCTCAATGTTGTTCCCATTATAGTGATGGACTCCAGTCTTAGCCAACATAGCATAGTATTCAATCTCACTCTTCCTACAATACAAGACATCAAGTTTACATCTATATCCAACAAGAATATATTAATAAAATCAGTAAAATGACAATTTATACAAATACAACTAATTGATACTGTACTCAAGTGCTCAACTAGTTTACACACACAGTTTAGATCCAAATACTACTGTCAGATGTTTTGCAAATATTTTGTTATAAATTAGAGATCAGTAGTACCATATTAATTGCTTTTACAATGAAATTGCAGTTTGCATGATGGTTTTGTTGCAAGCTACTCCACACTATACTACTGTACCTTCACCATGGGGCTGATTCATCTTCAAGTATAAAACATACAAATGAGAAATATTTGACTTCATCTCAGCCAGGGCTCCGAAGTCAAGACTATATGACATAACTGCATAATGTCATGGCAATCAATAAATAATTCAAAAAGTCCTGACATAACTAATGTTTTCTCTCTGTGACATTTGAGTTTTCTTCAAATGAATTGATCATATACTACTATAGTATTAGATTCAAGAATACTTCTAGTCCTATGAATTTTGTTGATCCAAATCAGAATTGTTAATATACACAAAACTCACCTGAGGGGAGGGGTGTTGTTGGCAATGATTACAAGTTTGGCTTTTCCTTGACGGAGAGTCTTCAATGTCTGCTTGTATCCTAGGACATACTTTCCACTTTTCATCACCAGGGCAAGGCGAGAGTTGATGCTCTCAATAGCCTTTTTCTACAAGGAAAATTTATATTTCACTGCGAGTTCCTCATTTTTGGTTTGAATGATTCGCAAAGGACTTAAAAGCTTGGACATTAGATCTAGTTTGGTCTGTGTACGTTTCACACTACTGTAATGTACTGTGGTATACTGAATGTTTTTGATTTCTCGCAAGAAAATGTCCACTTTGGGATAAAGACAAGTCCTGATCAGCACTAAAGTAGCGGATAACTTACAGATTTTCGCAAACAAGGTATGGAGATGTAGGAAACATTTTGAGATAAAAGTAAGCAGCTGAATTCAGTATTTCAGTTTCAGCCGTTAAGATTACTAAATAAATGTCCTATACTATGAGAACAAAGGCTATCCATAACTTACAGATCAGATAGATTTTGAAAAAGGTAGGGTGGTAGAACATTGACATAATGGGGTAACTTCGACATTACTGTTGGGTGGCCATCTAACAATAAATCTTTTTACATTTCATTGCACTATTTTACATTTCTTTGCAATATTCTCGACTACAAATTATTATTTCAAGTCTATTATATGTCAAGTTAAGGTACAGCTGGAAAGTAACATTTTGGTAAAAAATTGCTATACCCGCACATGTTATTTTCTGGTACAAAATAAAGTATGAAGGCATGTATCAATTTCCTTGCTTTTTTCAGGAAAGTATCATTACATTGTCTTCTTTTAGAATATCTGGTAGGCGTTTAGTCCAACAACATTAGACCTAGCCTGGGCCTCGTTTCTTATCTGACATGTCTTATGGCCCCGGCTGGGTCTAACCTCCATGACCATTTTGCCCTTGATGCGTTAATTTAGTCGTTCAGCAGGTTCCGACAAGCGGAACTAATTAAACTCCGAAAACATGGTAATATTACATAAAGAATGTGATTCAAGCATGCATACAAACCTTATAAATACATACACACCATCCCATACCCCCCTTAGACCATATTGATGCATAATTACGAAAATATTGGAGACAGGTTTGGAATTTTACGAAAATATCGGTCAGCTCCGGTAACATCGAAATTGCAAATCATATCAGGAATTTTATCAAGGGTGCTTACAGATTTCTTTGCGGCAACCATTTTGACAGAAGTATGTGCTTTGGTGATCTGAAACACAAGACGTTATATATTTGATAAATAAAGTACACGTATAACACGATTGTATGCCTGTAATTGTGAAAATAACGCATAAAATGGGGATTTTGTGGCTCTGAATTTTATACCAACCTGCGCCAAAAACACGTTTTAGAAAAGAAAGAACACCCGGATGAAGAACTAAACCACACACGAGAAATTAAGTCAGTGCAACATCAAAATGTTAAAAAACTCGTTTCATCTAAATAATATGCTTTGATCTAAATCAAAATATCTAAGAAAAAAGAAATGTAATAGGGAAAATTCATTTTAGACGTAGGAAAAGGAATCAAAGTTAATGCGCATAATTGCGCAAGCTGTACCATGTGTGTGTTTCCCGGGCTTTCTATCAAAACGAGATCTCGCAGCATAGTTTTACAATGGCGGAAATATTTTTGCAAATTTGAAATTTACTCCACTTTAAATCGAATATCTTCAATTCTGTCCTTGAGGATACTGTCAGAATGTTTATATACCTTAGCAAGAAGGTGAGTCATCATTTCAAAACCACGTTTGATCAATAAGGCCTCAGATTAAAGGTTCAACATTGAAAATGTATTGGTCTCTAGGTGAACCTGTCAATTTTTTATCTTCAATCAGATTATAGGAATCTTGAAAAACTAAAATAAGAATTGAAAAAGAAATATCCATATCAATAGACAATCAATGTCCTTCTACAAGGTGGTTCTGCATATTGCCTGAGATATCGGCTAGTCACTCAGTTGGTTTGCATCCTAGATCACCAGAGAATTGAGATCCCTGAAAATATAGGATGTTGACGTATGAGTTCATGGACTGTGAATCAATACAAAGTATTATAAAATACAAAAATAAAGTCTACAAGTTCAAGTTTTAGCAGAATGCAAAATTTCTTACCTGAAAATATAGGATGTTGACGTTTGAGTTTATGGAATGTGAATGAAGTAAAGGGTAAAAAGGAAGAATGGAGGAAAAATTTGGAGGGGAAATTCCAGCGTTTTGATTGGATAAAAAAGTATGAAATTATGTTAGAAATAATTACCAGTTTTATGCGGATAAATCTGCTAATTTTAAAGGTGCAACAATTAGTGCAGGGGGGCCATTCAACGATCATCGACCAGTGTCAAAATATATTTAAGTTTGGATATTTCATCAAGACTAATATATAATTTTATTATCTGCAAAGAAACCCCCTGGATGAACATTATTTCAACTGATATTCCTCTTGAAACGTGGCGGATCTTAAAAATCTATAAGTGGGACTCCCTTTATAGATGCTTTGAACTGAATTTACACTTCTCAATGCTGAAATTGATAAGTCTGAGAGGAAGTATACTTTGAAACTTTCCATGTTGAGAGGAAATTGAGATGGAAAAAATGCTCAAAAAGGGGGTCTTTGGCGCAGTATTAAGAGGCATATTGGAGTGAAACTCCCGGGGTGTCAATCAAACAGCCTGGTCAAACAGTAAAATATTTTGTTGAATAAAGTCTTCCTCCTCCTGATTTAATTGACTATTTTGATCGTGAAAAATAAGACTTAGGTAAAGAATGGTACTGTCACCTATTACATCTACATCGATAATATGCAAAAGGCTAATAAGCCCATTAGAAGCTGAAATATAGTTTAACTATGGGCTTTCAAGCTAATATCTTGATCACTTGCTAACCCTACTATCACACCAAACTAGTTCTCACTACGTTCTCGAAAACGAGCTTAAACTGTGCACGAACGGATTTGACGTACTACGAACCCACTAAGAACCGTTTGGGATCTGTTTACAAACTTCATGAAACTACTCGAACGAGTAGGTCCTCCAGCACTTAAAGCATGCTCAACATTTTCTGGTGATCATCAAAACGTTGCCGAATCGGTTTTAAACTGTGTGCGAAATGAATGAACGTAGCTACAACGTTCTACGGTCTGTTTACGAACTTCATGGACTTTCCCGGACGGGGTATGTGATTTAGAATTTTGAATTGATTCAAAATTCGATGGCGACCATACCGTTCTGTAATCAGGTCATGATGACCTTCTAGACTAAGAGACGGATTATACTACGTTGCACACCGACGTGGTGCGACCTGAACGAACTGCGAACGTGATGGACATATTGAAGACTGTTTATGAACGAAGTAGCTAATTATTTTAGACATATATCCCGACCGCAGCCAGATCGAGCCTTTTTACGACATTTTCGTAGGACTGGCAAGAACGGGTAAGAACTAGTTTGATGTGATAGGGGGGTTAAAGGCCCACTATACTTAAATTAGAAGAAAAAAGAACAAAATTATCATTGAAACATATTACTCACACACTCGTTCAAATATGAAACAAAGTTTGATTTGCTTTGATGTTGATTCAAGGAAAAAATAACTCATATAGAAAAAAGCATTTAAAGTTCAGAGATCATTAGACATGCATGCACATGCTAAACAAAGTGCTTGTTTTAATTACTTTTGATTTAAAAGATGACGACACTTCTATAAAAATGAATGTATCATGTAATACAAACAACTTCGCCATCTTTCAATGACATTGATAAAAACTGAGCTGTTGAGCTGTTGTTGGTGTCAAATGAAAGATAAGGTTCTTATCAATACATTTGACATTCTATAGAATTCAAATAAAAGTCTTTATTTTGTCCAAATGCATTGAAAATATGCAAAGTGGGCCTTTAATTGTTAAGCTGCTTGATAGAAGATTTAAAACTGGATAAGCCATCACTGTCCAAAATATCACTAGACAGAGGGTTCCATTTTACTATTGTCCTTGGAATTATGCATCCGTTCTGGCAGCTGGTTATTTCTTAAAAAATCAGTGACAAAAAGGTCATTAATCAGCTCATGTTTAAAAACCTATATTCATTTACACATAGTTTTCATTATCACAGGGTAGAATCATATATTTGCCACCGAATGAAGGCATTAAACGAGTAAACAATCAGTAAACACATTAAAATAATGTTTGAAAACACAGGCACCAACTTGTATGATGCAGTGTTGCTTGGCACAGTTTGTGATTGAAACAAACTGTGTGTCTGAGAAGGCACACAGCTTGAGTAACTAACACATCATATATTTTGAACAAAAAGTTTGACATAGATCTGATACACAAAATGGTTGTGTTAAATGAAGGCATGTAGTAATATACATTTGTGTTTTGCTAAACAACTAGGCTAATCAGAGTTTTTAGAACAGCAAACCATTCAAGTGATTTTGATTTATGCAATTTTTGTCACTCATGTGTATTGAAAGATAAAGAAAATTTTTGATATTACTGAGTATAACAAACAAACTTGAATATATCCAGTATATGCGAATAAGCAGATCCACATACAATGTCTTATCTTACATCTTATTTTAGGTTTCATCACAATTACAAAGGGATTGTAGCCCATGGGTTAGTTTCATGAATTGTCAGATGTTCCACATAGAATACTACTTGTATTTAACATTAATGTGTTCAGTGTTTAATTACTTACTGTTCCAGTGTTAATAAAATGATATATAAAACATGAGTCCCTACAAGACCAAACATTCATATTAAAAATGCATGTTGAAGTACTGTAGAAGCCCATTCACACCCTAAATAGCCTCTTAACACTTCAAGGCAAATTTTTTTTGTTCAGATCGCCATCCCAAATAATACACGGCTGAGATGTGTCTCCTGGAACAAAGACCAAGGTTATATAGCATGTGGTGGTGAAGATGGTCTTCTAAAGGTCCTCAAGCTAGAAACTGCGCAAGGTATGTCTCATTGTATTTCTTATGTACAATACAGGTTAGGCCAATATATGTTTACTATCAGTATACATGTACACATTTGTGAATACATTGCCAGGTGCATGTATTGGGTTTTGATGGACTACTGTCCATTAGAGGTCGCAACGGTACTAAAAACCAGTACCGGTAACCGGCACGCTAATAACCGTACCGTTACCGAAATACCGGTAAAAATATGTAAGATAAAATGCCAATGCGCTGCCACCCCCACTTTGTTCCTAACTCTCTCCGTAGCTTCTCAAGTCTATATGCATACATGGTGCAAGACCAATTTGAACCCATACTGATGAACTTCACGAAATGGTATGTAAGTATCTTACGAATCAAAATGTAGTTTTAGTTTTAAAATAAATGTATTACACACTTCAAACCATTTCTCAACTGTATCAAAAGCAAGCGACGTGCATTATACATGGGGGTAGGGTAGGTAAAGTAGATTCTATTGACTCTCTTGAGTTCTGGAAAGTAAACGGAGGAAAATATCCTGATGTGGCAAGTTTGGCTGAAACATATCATGCTATTCCTGCGTCATCCGTGTCAAGTGAACGCCAGTTCAGTGCAACTGGCAACACCACCACTTCTAAATGGGCACGACTTCAACCTGAGGTTGTCAATGCCTTGTTGTTCGTAAATGACTATTACAATTACTATTACTGACACTACAACTACACCGAAACTGTCAATCATAACTTCAACCAAATCTGAGCCTGAGCATGAAGCTACTACACCCGAACTGCCAAACATGGAAATCACACCTAAACTGTAAACCATGGACTTCTAAATGTCCATGTAAATGTACGCATCGTGAAAGTGGAAATCAAATTTCCCCGGGGATTATCGTCGGTTAACTGGTTAATAATTTCAATACCGGTAAATGCTCAATTCCATACTGAAACCGTTTAACCGGAATTACCGTCAGCCTCTACTGTCCATCCTTCTTCAAGCCAATCCGTCCCCCTTTCTCTGACTGTAGAGCCTCAAGGGCAGAGACTTTGTGTAAAACTTGGTGTAAATATGTGCAATAGCACAATGTTTATAGGCTATTAGAACAGTGTAAAATCAAAATATTTAGATATTGTTTTAATATGTTATTTCTTATGAAGCAAACCTGTTTACAATTTCAATATTTCAGGTAAAGATGCCAAGGTGAAAGGCCTAGCTGCCCCTAGCAATCTCTCCATGAACCAGACCCTTGAGGGACATAGTGGTATGTTTCCAGTTTTTGTCTATCTTACTGGTCACACATTTAATGCATACTTTTTTGAAAATATATTGGTATGTATATACACACAATCAATAGACATGAATTAACATAAACCCTCTTTTATTTTATATTTAGGAGCTGTGCAATGTGTGACATGGAACCCCCTTTTCCACAAACTTACAACAAGTGACCAGTATGGATTGATAATAGTTTGGATGCTATACAAAGGTAATCAGGTGTAAAGATAACATTCATACAACTTACTGTTCCCAGAAATATATAGAATGTGCAAAAGCTGTAAAATATTATCATTGATATTGTCATTGAAAATTAATGGTTTTTTAACATGTATGAAATATTACACACATTTACCTACATTATTTTATATTAATAGAATCACAAATAAATCAACTACATTATATCCACTTCATTTATACTCATACCTTAATTTTTAGGCTTCCAAGAGATCATATTATATATTATAATTTCAAAATACAGTATGGATGGTCACCATGCAATATAATGGATGTAATTGCAACCAGTTGGCTACATCTGTCATGTTAGTGTCTTGATTTAAATTTTAGGTTCCTGGTATGAGGAGATGATTAACAATAGAAACAAATCTGTGGTGCGTGGCATGGCATGGAATGCTGATGGTCAGAAAATATGTATTGTCTATGAAGATGGTAAGGGAATCAATGCAATTATACAAAGATCATGGATGTTATTTTATTTGCTATGGCCACCCTTCAGATGGCACTGGAACATTGACTGATTGATGGATGGGTGCCATTGTGGTCAACTAAGTCGGTTTAACTTATTTTGATGAAGATTTAGATTACAGAATTTTGAATGTTGAAAGGTCTGTGTAACCTTTGGTTCTAGAACACTCATTTTCCTCAATGATGATATTAACTAATCAATCACTCCATCGGGATAATTCTTGCTTCAAGCCCCTTTTGGGGTAAAGTTAATGGGGTCCCATAGATTGAGGCAAGACCATGAATGATGTACTTCTCATTTTGTATTGTTATTTTGTTGAAAATACATTCTATGTATGCATGTTTTGCAGGTGCTGTCATTGTTGGATCTGTGGATGGCAATAGGATCTGGGGGAAAGAATTAAAACAACTTCAACTAGCACATGTTGAGGTATGTTTGCAATGTTTATTTATAATACGACATGTGGCATGTGTTCATTGAAGTAAACTATTATGGAAAATAGAAGCACAAGGGATGATATTTCATTTCAAGCAATTTGAAATTACTTTCAGTGTTCGGGGTTTCCTCTATAAAAGTGATCTAAATATGGAATTTATACAGCAAGAATTGCAGAGTTTAGATTGCATAAGACTTACCTTAAGCAGTAAGAGTTCAGTTATGTAGTAAGTGAGTTTTAAATTCCAGTGGTCACCTACTGGGAAGATGTTGCTGTTTGGGATGACCAATGCAGAAATACAAATATTTGACAATGGTGGGAATTTCATTGTGAGTATGCAAACTGATTTATATTATTTGGATGTGATGTTAGAATTTTTTGCTGATTCAATCAAAATATACTTTTAATTTTTGACATCTTATTGTATTCTATTTATATTCACTATCACATCTTTTAAATGATGGGATTATTTCAGTAAGGCATTTGCAAATTAATAACTTCAGACGTTCCTTGCATGATGCTAGACATTTGTTTTGTTTAAAAAAACTGCATTTTACTAAACTACTGTATCGCTTTAAAGTGAACGCTCTTTTGGAATACAAAATGTCTTTTTCATTTTAGGGCAAGTTACAAGTATACTGCTTGGCTAATGTGACTGGAGCCATTCAACTAGCTGGTATACAATGGTAGGAATATCATAAAGATCATGAGTCTCAATAATAAGAAAATGAGATTTTGTAAAATGATTTTATTTGACTTTGCAACCCGTTTGGAATATCTGAAATCTCCAAATTTTATTGTTTGGGCCTTAAATTTTTTTTTTTTTTTTTTTTAAATTCCAACACTCGGAACAATTACAAAACTTAATATGAGTTAACACCACCATTTAATAGGAAGAAAAAGCTTGACTTGGTTTTGATGTGAAATTTCCTTTTCTTATCTGTTGCTGAAATCTTTATTGAAGGGAGGGTAACAGATAAGAGAGTGTCTTACCACTATGACTAATAATATAATATGTTTCAGGTACAATGGAGTTAATGGTTACGTAGAGCCAGGCTGTCCATGTCTTGCTATATGTTTTGATAATGGAAGATGTCAGATAATGCGAAATGAAAATGATGACAGTAAGTTCTTATTTGAAGTATATAGAGGTTATTTAATGGGAGGTTTCCTGTTGCAGTTCTGATAGGGATCTGATTTTGGATTTTGGCTGATACGGGATTCAATACGGGATCTGATACGGAATTTTGGCTGATGCATGATTTTTTTAATATCGATCCTATTCCCTGTTTGTTTCCAAGGCAAACATGTAATTATGTTATTTTGGAATAATCATTAGTACTAATTATAAGTTATTTATTCCAATAATTATGAACACTTCAAATGCCTTCTCACATGTATCAATGCTTTTCTCAGATTTTCTAATAGAAAAGCAGAACAAGTGAAAGCTACAGATAGAAACATATTTCTTCAAAACATTGTTTCTGCTTAACTTATATTTATTTGCAAATAATGCAACTCATACATTGTCCCATTTATTAATCATGGGTTTACATTTTCCATGCAAAATCCTTTCTACAAGTGTTTAATTTATTTTATTTGTTGCATTCTTTATAACCATATCAAAGTATTCAATAAAAATACACAATGGGCAAAATAAGACTACAACAACAATAGAGAACCCTCAAAATCATATTAAAATGTTTCTTGTTTAGACCCAGTGCTGATAGATACTGGTATGAGTGTGGTAGAGATAGCCTGGAATCATGTGGGAGCAGTCCTAGCAGTGGCAGGATCACAGAAGACATCAAACAGCGACAAAGATGTTAATGTTGTCCAGTTTTATACGCCTTTTGGTGAGGTAGGTGAAACACTCTCTTTGTTTTGATTATTATGTTATGATTATTTGAAGATATGTTTTTACTCAATAAGAAGCATTCTATGATCATTGTCCTGGCTTAGTCTATAATAAGGGAATCACAGTGAGTGTAGCAGTTCACCTACAGTTGTACAGTATGGTATGTGGTCCTTTTTCAAAATACTATTGTGTAACTCATTAAGTTCTTTCTATTATGTGTTTATTAAAATGATGTATTTGAATTTTGAATAAAAAGTTACTCTTGATTGGCTTCATATATTTTGTATATTTCTTTTGTAGCATCTGCGTACATTGAAGGTCCCTGGAAAACACATGTACTCTTGCTCCTGGGAGGGGGGCAGTCTGCGAATTGCCCTTGCTGTTGATTCATTTATATACTTTGCCAATATCCGACCGGACTACAAGGTAATATAATCTATTTTAATGTACACTTTATAGAGATATCCAATATTTATAGACCCTTGCTCTAGCCATACCATGTGTCCTTTGGGTACTACCAGTATATGCAGTTAAAAAATATTTCCATGGTTATTTTGATTTTATTTTTTAGCCGGACCTTTTTTAGACAACTAGAAAATCTTTAGAATTTGATTAAAGGTAAATAAATGTGCAAATCAAAGTTGTTTAGATAGGAAATTACACACAGAATTCAAGTATGCCATCAAATAGAAGAAAATGTTAGTCTTTAATGGTTAAAAATGCAGATCTCCTAAAATCTCATTAAAAAGAAGACTTTAACGAGATTTCCAAGCTATATGGAAAAAGGACCATTCACTAGTGTGAACTTGGTGCGATATGTCACCAGATTTTTCAGAAACTTTGATTGAATATCTGAATTATTTTCTTGAATGTTCAATAATGGCTGAGTTACATTTGCTTTGATTCATTGGCCAGTGACTGGCTGATTTAGTATTTTGTTCAAAATTGTATACAGTTTTGAACAAAATGCACAATCGGCTGGGTGCCAGCCGATGAATCGGAGCAAATGTGACTAAGACATAAATCACAACTTTATTCTATTATCAGTAACCGATTTTTTATTTATATATCACTATGCTTCAGTGCAATATAATGGTATACAGATGTTTGAATTGAAAATTTATTGTAAGAATAATTCCAGCATACAGAATAGGAATAAAAGATATGATTAGTCTAGATAATAGATATTGAGAATGTTGTACAGTACTTTTCATGTTATTGTATATAATAGATGCTATATACTTAATAATATGATAAATGAAATGTTTATTCTAGTGGGGCTATTGTTCCAACACAGTTGTCTACTCCTTCATGAAGCCTGACCGTCTTGAGCACTGTGTAGTATTTTGGGACACCAAGAATAATGAGGTAATAGAGTTGATCGCCTTGATATAAGACATTAATATAATAAATATTATATATATACAAAGAGGTACATGAAATATATATTGTATAAGAAAAAGGCCTTTATATAAGACTACAAAAATGAACCGTGTAGAAGCATTAATATAAGACCTTACAAAATTTATGTGATGAATTTCAGAGGTACATCAAATATGTGAGAAATCTAATCTCAGTGACTGCCTATGGAGACTACTGCTGTCTGGCCACAAGGTCTGAAGATCAACAGGGCCAGGTATGTTATTTATTATCTTCAAAGTACTTCAACCTCTAACTCTGATCCCAAAATGCTTTGATATAAGAAGAGCATATTAAACCAGATGGTGGCAATTGTTTAAAAGTAATAATATTATGCAGTTTGCATGATCACCTTGTTATTTCTATAAGTATCAAAACTTGGAATAATTGTTCACTTATCTAGCAAATATATTGCCTTTTGAAAATGATGAGATGCACTCCTCCATATATTTAGTAGGACCTTCCCATTCTGCAAACTTGGTGAAGAACTTTTTTCAAGCTTTGCTATATTCAGAAAAGACTTGTATCATTGTCCATCTCTAGTTTAAGTTACAGGCTACTGCAATCTTATTTAGTTATGGGGTTATTATTCCACCAAATGAAGTACTCCTTGGTAGGGGCAAAGTGCCCACAGGAATGCTATATGAAGATAACATGAAGGCCCAAAGACTTTAAAGTACAATGTACTTTAAAAGCAAATATGACTCCAGTATGGTTGAAATCAAAGTTTTGCAACATCCTTCTCTCTATTTTAGTCCATATTTTATCTTTCTCCATATTCAGCATGATACCCTCTAACACATTGTTCTTAGAGGTCTCAACTGATGAAAAATTGGTTGAAAAGATTGGTTGAATAATAAGAGAAAAAATGAGAAAGTGGTTCAGATAAAAAGATATTTAATATTTTTAGTTCTCATTGAAACCAATGGTGTAGACATATATAGTGTTTTAATACAATATATATTAAGATAAAACATGGCTTATTTATTCTTCCTAATATTTTCTTGCTGAATAATTTGTTACAAGAAATTTGACCTTTTTGACCTTGAGAAGGTGAATTTTGTTCACAACTGGATAACAATCTACCACTCCCAGTATAGAATTTGGACTTATTCCAATATTGCGATCATTTCGATAATTGCCAAATTTTCTGAAAAACTAACACAATCTGATGCCATTGGTAAAAGTTATCATCTTGACATTTATGAAGTGCACTTTGAATGCCATATTTTGCATTTCGGCCATGGTTATACACAGATCTTCTGCCTTATTTCAGTATGTTCTTGTGTTGTGTAACTCGATTGGAACACCACTGGACTCTAAATACATTGAGATTGACCCAGCCTACATTGCTATGACAAAGAGCCACATCATAGCAGCCTCAAAGGAAGCCTTCTATACATGGCAGTTCAAGAATCCAAAGAACCTTGCTACCATGGAGATGTCAGGCAAGAGAAAAGCTGGCGCAGAAAGGTAAGATGATAGAAATTTCTATTAATTGCACAGGGATGGAAAGTTGAGAAGTGTTCCTCTTCAGCAGTATATGAAATTACATAATAGTATTAAGGTACAGCTGGAAAATAACATTTTTTTTGCTTTTTTCAGGAAAGTATCATTACATTGTCTTCTTTAAGAATATCTGGTAGGAGTTCAATGGGAACTCCAGGAAATTCTGATATTTCACACTTTCTATTTTTCCAAATTTTCTTTCAAAGTTTCCAGACAACACAGGAGCTACCATTGACCTGTTTCCAGGTTTACTAGAAGTATACAGTGTAATGATACTTTCCTGAAAAAAGCAAGGAAATACACACATGCCTTCATACTTAATTTTGTACCAGAAAATAACATGTGCAGGTATAACAATTTTTTACCAAAATGTTACTTTCCAGCTGAGCCTTAATCACAAACTCTTCTTTGATTGTAGGTTATACCACATAGATGATGTTCCCTCAGGGGCAGGAGGGGAGCTGGTAGATTTCAGTAAAGCTTTCGTGGTAAGTTCTTTGAAGTAATCTAACAGCCAAAAAATGTGTCAACACATGTGCATGTGCTATAGAGATGTTGGTCTCGAAAATAAGAAAAGCTGAATTGATGAGTTTCAAAATTAATTTTTCATCTTAAACTAGGGAGAATGTGTGCTAACTATTGTCACCAATATTTCCCGTCTAATTACAATCTCACTTTTTTGTTATGTGAAGAAATTAAAGTGCAATAAATATTGTAAAATTGGTCAATATAGTACATCTGCCCTCGGGACTTTTGGCCCCCTTGTTTTGGCCCCCTTGTGGATATATTATATTGGCCAAGGGATAATCCCAATATCTAGAACCATTGAGAGGATGATCTATATATTCTATTAGCCTGTATGTATAAAGAAAATCAACCGGGTATTCATTAAGCTTATTTGATTCACAACAGAAAACAGATAACAGAAAATAAATAATATTATATTATGATATGATTATGCTATATTAAAATAAATGAAACTGTTGAATGGTTTACTTCCAGGAAACTCAGGATCCCATATGTTGTATATGTGCCTCGGATAAAACACTAATTGTTGTAAGTTTTCCTTATCATTTTCAATCCAAGTATTTTATATTCATTTGAACACTTCATGTAGAACAGGTTTGGTGAAGTTTAAAAGATGGCAGCATATTCTAATTCATAACTTTTGTCATGATCAGTATCACCCTGTTATAGCATAACGGTTACGACACCTCTGAAAATGATAAAATGGCCGCGATAGAACAGAAAACTAAGGTTGGTGCATTATTTTCTACTACTGTGTATCAATGAAAGGATGAACGATTTATGTAAGCATCGCATTCTGTGATGCAATCAGTAATGTATATTTTGAACGTAGACTTTGAAAATTGATGCCCGGGGATAATATGAAATAAGCGAAAAACTGTTGAGTTTGAAATTCAAACCTACAGAAAATTTGGTAATTTGTTTATTTTTGTCATTAGGGCATGGTCTACATTGCCTAACAACCTTGGGGTATATAGATGTAACCTACATACAATCATACAAAGCCAAATGAGCGTTGGAAACCACCTAATATGTTCTACTCAAGCCATAATAATATATTTTGAATTTGTGGTAACGCAAAAAATTGATGGACGGTTACGCGAACCTCATTCAAATATGTATCCCCGATTCATTGTTATCAATTCTGTCATATTCATCAGTACTTGATGCTAAATCTTCTTTTGCCTCTTCATTGCTATCATTTTCACTTTCATTTGTTTCATAAATAAAGCAAGCCACTGTTTTTTCCTTGCCCTATAGAGGCTTAAACAACAGCGTCTCTTGCGAGTCCTGAAAACAAATATAATCAATAAAATATTCATTTTCTTACCCATTATAACAATAACATGGAAAGAGGCTATCACATCTAGCAACCTTAACTTGACAGGTGTACATGCACGTGACCATCCGCTAAATATCTAATGTACAACTAATACAATACGTTACCGTCCATAGAATTCATACGTAGTCGTCCAACGACTGCGTTTGAAACCTTATTATTTACAATATACACCATGTTCCTGTTCTGGATTTGTCATTTTATGGCTTGCTTATACACAGTTTACTTACAATTAATATTTTGAGTGGCTCTGAGGCACACATACTGAGAAAACACGGGAATGGACCAAAAATTATAAACTTGGATATCTCAGTCGGTAGGTTTACAGCTTATATTCTGCTTCTTGTAAACCACCTGGCAGATTTGACCCAGTCTTTATAACCATCCATATATACGTCACCGAATTGAACTAGTTGAAAAGGAAATCCTATCTGTGAATCTTGCCTACAGGCGAGAAAGAGGACATGCTGTCTTTCCCATCCGCCATTTTTTGTTATCGTTACTGCAAAATTTTGCAAATCGCCTTGACGTAACCATCATGCTATAACAGGGTGAGTATGCATATTGTGAGTTATTGTTATTACCATGGGCTATGTAATTACCCACTTGATCATGATTTCAATCATGCTGACCACAAATCCAAAATGGCTGACAATGAATGAAAATACACAGCTTTACAAATCAAATAATCATTTTAACCAAAACAAATCCCCCTCAGAATCAGTTTAAATATAAATTCAATCAAAATCATTAATAAAATACATAGATGTATGTCTCAAAATTTCAGGTTATGTTATTCCAGGAAAGTTATGGTAACCCTAAATGATAAAATTGTTAAATTAATAACTTATGCATACAAATTCTAGTTTTAACATGAGGTCATAGTCTGATTCCAATAGTATGTCCATTTAAGATCATACTTTTAGGGATCATTTCTATAGTATGCTTCGCAAGGACATCAGGTAAAACTGATTTCGGATGGAAAACCATGATGAGGAGTCAAAGTGTCACCTTCTGAGCGTGAAGCGGGCTTTGGGTATCACCCTAGGTGATTTGCCCTCTGCCATTGATGATCGTTTCATTCTCCTTAGGGGGATTTGGAGGAAGGTGGTGCATTCTGAGTGGTTTCGCTCTAAACAAACAAATTTGATTCTTACACCCCCCCTGAGGTAGAGGTACATGTGCTCAATTATGAATAGTGGTACATGTGGTCGAGATATGTAATTTATGAAAAAATGTTACCACTTCATTTCTTGAAAAATAATAAAATAAATGTGAATTCACTTCTAGTCTATTCCTAAACAGTTTATTAATGCTTTGTTAACACAAAGTTCTATGTATATTGTTGCTATATTCTATAACAGCTCCATTTCTCCTTATTCAGCAAAACACTCCTGTATTATTCTATATTATTTATTGTGGATATGTAAATAAGTTGTAGTTATGTTTGCTGTAGATTATTATCCCATCGAACGAAGTTCGGAGGGATATAGGGAACGCCTCCGTCCGTACGTACGTACGTACGTATGTCCGTCCGGGCAATAACTCAAATACCGTTGGCCCGATTTTGTTCATATTTTGTACACATATACCCTATAGGGGTAGAAGTTCTGCTGGAAAGCTGATTTTCAAAATGGCCGCTCATTTAAAAATGGCGGCCATTTTAGTGCCTATTTTACAGTAATTTAGGTGCAATATGTAAAACTGTAATAGCAATATGTTTTAAATGTAAAAAGATTATGTAGGACATTAATGAAGCTAGAAATGTAGATATTAAAAAAGCACATGGCAGCCATCTTGAAAAATGGTGGCCTTTACTCGTTATTTTACGATTTTTGCTGGAACTCGAAAAGTAGTGTAGCGATTTTGTTCATATTTGGTATGTGAATACTATAAGCATGGCACACTGTCTAATGATACTTTTGGTAGAAGGTGGCCATTTTGAAAAATGGCTGCCATTTTTGCTATATAATTTGTTTGTAAAAATGCCAGCCATGGCTGTTCGATGGGATTCGCTATGCTTTGGCGTTGCCGTTGTTCTGGTTTACAATTTTCTTTGTTCAATTTTTTTTTTAGATTTTTATTGCAATCCTTTTGAAATATGTTTGCTGATTTGTCAAACTAGTTAAAATCTGTATTTGTACCTAGCACCATTGTGAGAAAAGAATCTTAGGGAGATGGGTACATTGAAGACATACATAACCAAGGATTGAAAGATTGGGGGAAGACTATGACCAAATGAATACCAGAAGTCTCGCTAAATTTTGGAATGTCACAACTGATTAAAATTAATCCATGTATATGTGTTCCTTATTATAGGGTCGAGAATCTGGTACATTAAACCGCTACCAGATGCCACTAGTGTCTCTTTCTCACAAACATTTACTGAACTGTCGGCCACATCAGCTCTCACTCAATTGTTCTTCTGCGTAAGTGCATGTATCAAACAATCGATATTATTTTTTTTACACAAAATAAGATAAAACTTTATGAAGTTAAAAGTGTCTCTTTTAATGGTTTTTCCAATTATACAATGTATTATGAAATAAGATCACAAAAATGAAGAAGAATATATAGATGAAATAATCAAAACAGATAAAAATTGGACACATTCAAATTGTAAAAAGATCTGTTATGAAATTTGCAAATTGTTTACACAGACTTTAATGCAGTATTATTAAATGTTTTAATTCAAATTATATTGCATTGCAGTCGCTTGGCAATTATTGATATATCAGGAGTTCTGACCTTCTTTGACCTTGACACCCGATATACTGACGCCAATGGTCAAGAGGTCACTGGGGAACACTTGAAGTTTGAGCGTAAGGATGTGTGGGACATGAAATGGGCTGAGGTAAGAAATTGACTGAGGGTTCTTGTCACATTTGAGATTTTCTTGATGAGAAATAATGTGTTGTCTGTTGTGTTCTCTAAAGGTTTTTCCTAGTTTTTATGATTTTTCAAATCCTGGTTTGGATAGAATTGGATGAAATAGTATGAACTTCATCAACAAGTTAATGCATGTTTTTTCGATTTTCAATAAAAATCTCTTTCATTTTCATTTCATAAATTGAAAACATCTATTTTCATGTATTAATGTAAAACATTTGTCCTATGCTTTCTCAACAACTCAAAGTGTTGTGTTTCAATTTACTAAGAGAATTTCCTCCATTCTGATAAATGGATAAGACATACAAAAGATGATATCTTTCCAGGATAATTCAGAGCTGTTTGCAATGATGGAGAAAACTAGGATGTACATCTTCAGAAACCTGGATCCAGAGGTAAGGTTATATTCATATATCAATTAAGGTGATCTGTGTAGAATTTGAATCTTTTACATAAAGTTTAAACTGACACGATATGGGCCTAAAAGCCATCATACTAAACTTTAAAGCTTATTATCTATTTTATTTATCAAGTAATTACATGTATAGTGATATTCATAGTACATTGCTTATAGAAAACCAACTCTGCATCGTTTGATTTGCTAAGTCAAGTATTTTGAGAGAATACCGGTAGATTCAGCTATCAATTACTAAAATAAATGAGAAAATTCAAAAATATCAATGGATTATTTTGATTCAAATTATTTACAGTTTGAACTAGGCATTTCAGGCCCAAAGCCAGGGTGGTTCGGGTGGTTCGCGGGCGAAAATTTCTTTCAAAATCATGCAGTTTTTCACCATTTTGAGTGATTTTTGGCCAAATTTACCAAAGTGAACCCCCCTAGAATTTTTATGAAAAGTGAATCCCCTTGGAAAATTCTAGCTCTGGGCCTGCATTTGACAGAACAATTATTAGAACTTTCCTGCATTTCAGGAGCCCATACTGAGCAGTGGTTATATCTGTCAGTTCAATGACCTACAGATCAAGTCCATCCTGCTAGATGAGATCATGAAGGACCCTGAAAACCCCAACAAAGATAATGTCATTGAAATGGAGATAAAGGTAGGATCATAGAGTAATTTTGTATTAGAATAGAATACGTTGGCATTACCCACACTGGTAAAGCCATAGGTCTTGTTTAAAGTTAAACATTCGGTATTCATGTGAAGAGAACAGTTGGTTGATGTATTGCCTATCATTATATAACATTTCACTCCATATCTCATTAACAGCTAGAACCCTAGCATAGTAAAACATATCCCAGTGTTTATTAATGGAGTTTATCTTATTTGCTGTTAAAATATCACCATGGGGTGTGCAACTAGATTTTGAAATCAATGAATATAAAGACACCATCCCCTTTAAAATCTCCTGATTTAGTAAAACAGTACATGCAGTACAGTACAGTTCAGTAAAGTACAGTACAGTACATGTCTCATAAAAATGAACCTCAATTCATCTAACGAATCCCAAATCAGGCCCTTCTTGACTGCCATTTGACATCAGTATTCAGTATAAGCATCTTTAACAAAAGATACGACAAAAGATTACATTTTTCTAAGTGTGATCAAGTGACATTTTGTCATGATACATATATTTGTAATATATTTTTGGAGGCAATAGCAAAGGTCAATCAAATGCCGATGCAGTTATACCTGTGCACATGTATATTGAACATATTTTTATTGAGAAAAAAACGTGTTGGTAGGTGTTCACTACAGAGAAGGTAATTTATACAAAAGTCAGTATATTATGTGCGGAAGAAGTGTCCACTAGAGACAGGTGTTTACCAGAGAGGTGTTCACTTAACAGCACTAAGACAGGTTTCACTGTAGTACTTGTTGTACTATGAAAATAAACCAATAAGTAATTTGGGAAAGCGTAATTGCTTTTTCTATATTTTTTATACCTAGTCATTAGAGAAACCCTAAATAATGAGAATATATTAGTACTATATTATGGTGTAAAAAGTAGCACCCTACCTCTGTAAGTTGCAAAGTTATTGTGATCCAAAGAAATGTTCCGTGGAGAAAAATATTTTCCAGTGAAATCGCAACATACCCCTATATGGTCTTAAAATGTCAATATCTTCATCAATCATGGACCAGTTCTATTAAGATATGGCTCAAAACATGGAATATTGGATTTTCTTTAAACTTATATCTCTCATTGAAAGCTGTTTTAAGATCATCCAGTGTGTTTCAACAATTTCCATGAATCGCACACTGTATGGGTAGACTGTCATTGTTTTTGATGTTTTACGACTTTTAACAGCCATTGATCTGAACTGTAATGTTTTGTGAACATATATTTCCAAAATTTTGCAGATTTGGCTGCATGTTTTGTCGCATGTTTGGTCTCTGCATGCCTCTTACCTGTTGAACAAGTTGTGTGTTGCCTAGGATAGGATTTGTCATTTGGATATTTTCTTGGAATGATAAGGTTATTCCAGTTTTCATTGATCTGCTCCACTTCCCTCTTTGGGACTGTTGATTTGGTTGTTGTGGGTCCATTTCCGTTTGCGTTCGTTTCAAGATTGTATGTGCCGTGCGATGCCGCCGCCTGCACTGTTGCTGTTTCTGCTGCCAATATTGCTGTGGAATCCCAACTTGCTCACATTCAAGCACATCCCATTTATTGTGGTTCTGTTTTTCTTCCAGTTTTGTTAGTTGCTGACATTTATCATTAAAGCTTGACATTATACCCTTGACATTATCTTTCACATGCTCAGCAAACGATAGTACATCAACAGGACGCCCATGCTTCAATAGAGTTTCTTCAAACTCAATTCCGCTATTCACACTGGCAATATTCATCTCTATTTCTTCTTTCTCAAGTTCATATGATTTGGTCTGGCTGTTAAAAATAGAATTTAGCTCGAATTTTAGTTCCGCTTGCTGTCGTCTTATTTCATTGTACATCTTGTCTGCGATTTTGTCGATGGTAGTCACAATACTAGCTCTGTCCTGGATGAGGTTGGTTTGGGCTTTTTCCAGCTCGGACTTGAATTGTTTGAGAACCTTGTTCATGTCAGCCATTTCTGAGAGTGTCTCCTCTATGGTTGCCATTTCAGACTTTCCTGCTTCTTCCAGTGATGTGCATTTATGTCCCTCGTGATTCAGGATCTTACATGAGACACAGAGCATCATTTCGCATTGTGTGCAGTAGAACTCAACACATTTTCCTTGGTGTGTGTTGCATTCAATAAACTGTGAAGCCAGGATTTCTTTTGCATATTTGCCTGCATTGACATCATCCATGGGAACAACTTTATGTCCCCTGGTGAACTTGGTGCTGCAGTGGGATGAACCGTGTGAGGAGCACATCTTATCATTACAATCAAGGCACATGAAACTACAGGTGTCATCACAGAACTCACACTTGACGAGCTGGGTCGACTTCCCGAGTGCATCTTGTAGTGTGTTAATCAGAAAGTTGGCACGGAGAGCTTTCACACCACCAGGGGGCAGTGTGGTCACATTACGACATACAGGACAACTAATGTCATCTTTCTGATCCATTTTTCGGCCCAAATCCTCAATGCATCCTTCACAGAAAGTATGTAGACAATTCAGCACTTTAGGTGTTTTCATTACTTCTAGACATATCTTACACTCTATGAGGTCTTGCTTTACTTCTTCGGAAAGACTAGTCGCCATTTTGTTGACCTTTGCTTTGCTTTGTTTACTGAAAAATATGAACAATATTACTATCAGCTGGAAAGTAACATTTTGGTAAAAATTGCTATACCTGCACATGTTATTTTCTGGTACAAAATTAAGTATGAAGGCATGTGTGTTCTGGTTTGTAGAAAAAACCGGGTACCGGGTAGTAAATCCTCCATGCTGGGTTCAAACTTGGTACCCGGTCAAAAAAACCGGGTACCCAAAAAACGAAAATACGAATATACAACATGATTAGATCATTAGAAAACGTGTAAGATTTGTTTTGAATATACAAAAATGTATGTAACTTCCTTCGAAATTGAGCTAGAAGCTTCAAATAAAAAGCATTTTAAGGTTCTTTTCTTCCTCTATCATCATGGTCATATTTTCATTGGTTATGGGGGGGGGGGTGAGATCCTCTATCACATTGTAAGACGTAACAATTTACACTTCAGTGGACGTTTCGTCGAAAATTGGGATAACTTAAATTATGATTGATAATCAAAATCTAACATGTTGCATCATGTAAATTAACACACGTCACCTCTCTGCTAAAGTAACGATAGCTATTTACAGATTTAATCATAATCAAAACTATTCACGCACCAATATACGAACTATTGAAAATAGAGGTAGGTACGAAAAATTTCGAACGGAATGCGTGACATATACATGATTTGCGTGAAAAGTCCGAACGGAATGCGTACGTTTTTTTTGGTGTTCGTATTTTTGCTGTATCGGCGAACTGTTTTAGGATTTTTTGTACAGAAATATTTTTGCTTGACAATTACCAGGTAAAATGCGTATTTGTGTGACATTTTCTGTCACGCAAAAAAAACTGGCGTGACTTCAAATTCTTCAGCAAATGCGTGACAAATACGCAAATTGCAGGACAGTTTACAGGCTTAATAACCGATGAAAATATGACCATGATGATAGAGGAAGAAAAGAGCCTTAAAATGCTTTTTATTTGAAGCTTCTAGCTCAATTTTGAGGGAAGTTACATACATTTTTGTATATTCAAACAAATCTGACACGTTTTCTAATGATCTAATCATGTTGTATATTCGTATTTTTCGTTTTTTGGGTATCCGGTTTTTTTTACTGGGTACCAGGTACCCGGTTTGAACCTAGTCCAACAACATTAGACCTAGCCTGGGCCTCGTTTCTTATCTGACATGTCTTATGGCCCCGGCTAGGTCTAACTTCCATGATGATTTTGCCCTTTATGCGATCATTTAATCGTTCAGCAGGTTTCGACATGCGGAACTAATTAAACCGTAATAAGATGGTATCGTTACAGAAATAATGTGATCAACGCATGCATACATACCTTATGAATAAATACAAATCATCACATACCCCCCTGTAACCTCATCGATGTATAATTATGAAAATGTTGGGAGAAGGCTTTTTCTTAGTTTAGAAAACTCTGTTCTGGTTCCGGTAACATCGAAATGGCAAATCCTTTCAGGAATAAACCGCCGTTAGCAACACTGAACGAAACAAGTTCATAAAACGAAACGAACCCCGGTTATCCTATATATAAGTACAAAATATTGTAATACTGTAGGAGGCTTGCGATAAACATGATTAAGTTTCCTACTTTTTTTCCTGTTTTATTTTCAGAATTATGGTAAATTTCTGGCTAAAATGCTAAAGCTTTCAACATCTTTGGACAGACGCAAGCATGTGATACTGAATAATTAGATATTTTTCTTAAAGATCTAATAGCAAAGGTTTTGCAAAAATAAATCAATGCAGTGTAAAACAAATGTATGTATAATGAAGAAATAAATATTTAATGAAAAAAATAGATATGTGTTTGTAATATTGGTATTAACTTAAGATTAAAAAGTGTCACTATCTCTTTCATTTTTCAACAAATATAGGCTCACGTGACATATGACGCGGGGCAGTCAATTTTGATCTATCGTAGACCATATCAGTATCAAACTGCCGATATTTCAACCTCGTCTTGCGAGGCCATTTTTATTTGAAACATCTTGAATTTGGTGTCAAAATAAAGCTGGTCACGCCCACTTTCAGAGTTATCAATGAATCATTTACTACGACTACTATATTCATTTAGGAGGCGTGTAAAGTTAACCAATCAGAAAGACAATTGCTCCATATATGACAGTTCATTAACATATTCAGTGTTTACTAATGTTTTTCGCGTCATGACAACACGAGTAGTAACCAATCAAAATGCCGTATTTTATCACGTGAGTTCAGAGTGACATGCACGACATGTAAGTTTAGTCTGAGCTGGTCGCGATGTTGAACAATTTCTTCTCGGAATTTGTCCAGAGAAATCAGCGATTCTAAATTAAGGTAGGATCTCCCATTTCTTCCTGTACAAGTTTTAACTTATCTCTATCGAATCCTAAAGTTTTGGATGAAGATATGAAGCATACGTTTAAAAACGAAGCGATTAATTTGACGATCTGATTTTGCAATTTGCAATGGCCAATTTACTGCAAGTCTGCGTGTATTTGACAAGAGATAGCGCCAAGTCTTGTATCCGAATGCTTGTTAAGCCACTCAAAAACAAGATCCATATTTTCTAAATTTGATAACTTTGCAGAGAGCCCGTTTTCATAACCTGTTTTCCGCGTCTAAATTCAAACTGAGTAGGATTATAGGATCGCTGGGATTCTCAGTCAATGGCAACGGGTCTTCATTCCAGAACGCACATTTTTTTAGTTGATTCTCCGTCATAGTACTTGTCTAAAGTCCATACCTGCTCTTTTACTGGCATACTTGGACATATTTCCCCTCCTTAAATTGTCCTCCTTAAATAACACCCTCTCGCCGATTTATATATAGCCATTTCCCAGAACCCGGGAGTCAGAATCGCTGATGTTTGCCATATTGAACATGTTGAAATATGTACTGTAATATCTGTAATACTAGGCATTGCCTGCTACGCGTAAGGGTCACGTGACTAGCGCGGTACAGGAAAAATGGGGAATTTCGAAACAACAATTTTTGGGCACTTTTATTGCAAATTTCAGGTATTTATAAGTGTTTGTGGTATAAAATATAATCCACAGACATAAATGAACATCCAAACTACATATTTTATTACGTTTTGGAGCCTTTTTTGCTTTTAAAATGACATCTTTAACATGTTTAAATATATATTGTGCCAAAGTTTTCTCTCCCAGAAAGTCAGTGATTTCCCATTGTAATAACTCAGATGCGAGTAGGTAGTTACCAGTTTCACCACCAGGTGGCTCATTCAGGTCACATAGCATGACATAGTTATGCAAATTAAAATAATGTAAAAGAAAATATTATCTGTCCAATACAAGAAAACATATTTCACTTTTTGTGACTTTATATGTTGAATCTCCCCGTAGTAGCATTTACATTTTCCAAAACAAAAATTTTCCAAAATTGATCAACAATATTTGAAGCAATATTTCTTGATGTACTTTTACATGTACATTTCAAATACTAGATAGTATGACATCATTTTGACTGAATGTTTAATGACGATCAAGTAAGGTTTTTTAACATTAGAGTAATGAGATCGAAAAAAGCTGAAAAGTGTTGATTTGAAAAAAATCAGATTTGGAGGTATCGAGATAAATCAGGTGTGAAGTACAGGTTGGAAAGTACATTTACTTGCTCCAATATCGTGGTAAAACACATGTGTTTAACTTTTCTCTCATTGAGTAAATGAAATATCATTGTAGAAAAATATGTTTTATAAAATAGCATAAACAAAACTTCTGTTTAATTTTATTAAGAACATCATACATTTAAGAACTAGGAATAAAACAACCATGCTGATACAAGTAACATGTAATCTTATCACAATACATCACCACATTGAAGTTATTAAAATGTAACAATTGTTACAAAGCATGTATGCTGAGTAAAATACATGATCCCAGTTATAAACAATTGAGTGTATTCCTAGGTACGTTTTTGCAAGCAGAAAACCATGAACAATTACCATAATTTAATATTTAGGCACAATTATTCAACACAATCACAATCTAGCACAATCGAATGACATCTATATTTCTTTGAGCTGAAATTACCAGTAATCAAATGCATCAATAATGTTGCTTTTTAAAGTTTTTATAAATAACAATAGAGTAAACTTGGGTGAATACACGCACTGTTTGAATAAAGCAAAGATTCGTGTCATACTGGATGGTTATAATAAATATCAATATTGAAGAACAATTTCGTTTCGCTGACCAAGTTTACTTTGGCGACGCACAGACAGACATTGCCGGTTGAAATATTCGTCTCATAAATTGGTAAGAATAAGACTCATTTTACGATTAAAAATGAACATTTAGCACAATAATATTATGTGAAATCGCCTGATGAAATGTGGTTTTATATTATTGTTAAGTATCAGTGTCATATTAACGAGGAAAAGTGGTTTCGATAGATCCACAACTTGCATCAAAGGAAAGAATAGCATGGAGGTTAAACTCAATAATGGCCCCAAGAAAATTCCTAATAATAAAGAACGCCGTTATTGAGTTTAACGACGTTGAACTAGTTTGAACCCAGCATGGAGGATTTACTACCCAGTACCCGGTACCCGGTTTTTTCTACAAACCCATGTGTGTTCTTCCTTGCTTTTTTCAGGAAAGTATCATTACATTGTCTACTTTTGTCTACATATACATAAACTGTGAATTTTTTTTTATTTGCCTAGATCTAGGCTAGCATTAAGGTCAGGGTGCATGATGGGAAATTTTCTGCATTCCTCAATTGAGTCACATGTTATTTTTCAAACAAGAATCACTCCTTCCCTTCATTGTCTATATCTTCCAGTTTTGCACAAAGAGTGCACTTATGTGCCTAGAAAAGACTTGTGAGAAGAATGTTTTGATAAAGTGTATAAAAAACAAGAAAATTCAGTGAAAAAAATCAGAAAATTTTCAGAAATTTTTTTCACTGAATTTTCTCATTTTTTATACATTTTACAAAACAAACCTTCTCACAAGGCTTTTCTAGGCACAGAAGTGCATTCTTTGAGCAAACTTGGAAGATGTAGACAATGTGGGGAAGGAGTTATTCATGTTTGAAAAATAACATGTGACTCAATTGAGGAATGCAGAAAATTTCCCAACATGCACCCTGTCCTTAATTACTGACTTTCACAAAAATTGACATATCGTCTTTCATGAGTCAATAAAATGGGTTATGTTTGGTTGATTGAAAGATTGGATAAACAGATATTGTTTTTCAGAAAAAAACTGTTTGAATACTAGTATTAATTTAGTGAGCAGTTTTGACTTACTGTAGGTGAACTTTTTCAGCTTTTAAAAACGTAGTCACCTCTAAGCAGGCAAAGGCTTATTCTGAAGTTATTAATGAGTTCTCAGAAGTTTATCAATTTATGATAATGAGTTCTCAGAAGTCTATTGCATTGCCATCTATTAACAAATGTAAAGTTCATGGTAGTGTTTGAAGATTCTAAACTGACATCTATACAAATCTTAAACTAATGAAATGCCTAGAACATAATTTTCTACTTTTGATAATAAATAAACTTTTAATTTTGAGCATTTGTAGTAATCTTTTATATTTTGTATGTTATTACATTCTTCTTGGAGTGTAGCCAAGTACCTTTTGTCAGTTTGTCTGATTGTATGTATCAGTTATCTGAAGTATGCTGTTAAATCTATTGAAGATTTATGATGTACTATTTTTATTTTACAATTCTTGTAAATTACTAGTGATCTTTGTACATAATTGTATATGTCTATACTCTATTTGTAAAACCCTTCCTATTAACTCACATTATGGTAATTTTTAGATCTGACATTGTTATACAGTAAAACCTGTCTAAGTGGAACACCTGTGGTACCTCCTAAAAGTTTTCCACTCTGGAGGTGTTCCACTTAAACAGGTTCATACATTAAGTCAGTTAGTCTTGGGATGCTGAAAAGTGTTTCACAAATAGAGGTGGTCCACTTTACAGGTTTCACTGTACATGTCATATGCTTGACCAGGGGTAAATCCTCTTGCTTCTTTATATCTTGGTCTACATATACAGAACTAGTATATGTCTGAATATAACATGTTGCCATTTGTATGGTGGGCTTGCTATATACCTGTATTTATGTCTCCACATCTGTGTTTTCCAGTCTTTAAGGGACAGCAGAGATCTACTTGAGAAAGTTGGAATTGAAGATGCACAACAGTTCATAGAAGACAACCCACATCCTAGACTATGGTAAGTTCATAGAAGACAACCCACATCCTAGACTATGGTAAGTTCATAGACTATGGTAAGTTCATAGAAGACAACCCACATCCTAGACTATGGTAAGTTCATAGACTATGGTAAGAACATAGAAGACAACCCACATCCTAGACTATGGTAAGTTCATAGACTATGGTAAGAACATAGAAGACAACCCACATCCTAGACTATGGTAAGTTCATAGACTATGGTAAGTTCATAGAAGACAACCCACATCCTAGACTATGGTAAGTTCATAGACTATGGTAAGAACATAGAAGACAACCCACATCCTAGACTATGGTAAGAACATACAAGACAACCCACACTCTAGACTATGGTAAGTTCATAGAAGACAACCCACATCCTAGACTATGGTAAGTTCATAGAAGATGACCCACATCCTAGACTATGGTAAGTTCATAGAAGACAACCCACATCCTAGACTATGGTAAGAACATAGACGACAACCCACATCCTAGACTATGGTAAGTTCATAGAAGACAACCCACATCCTAGACTATGGTAAGTTCATAGAAGACAACCCACATCTTAGACTATGGTAAGTTCATAGAAGACAACCCACATCCTAGACTATGGTAAAAACATAGAAAACAACCCACATCTTAGACTATGGTAAGTTCATAGAAGACAACCCACATCTTAGACTATGGTAAGTTCATAGAAGACAACTCGCATCCTAGACTATGGAAAGAACATAGAAGACAACCCACATCTTAGACTATGGTAAGTTCATAGAAGACAACCCACATCCTAGACTATGGTAAGAACATAGAAGACAACCCACATCTTAGACTATGGTAAGTTCATAGAAGACAACCCACATCCTAGACTATGGTAAGAACATAGAAGACAACCCACATCCTAGACTATGGTAAGTTCATAGAAGACAACCCACATCCTAGACTATGGTAAGTTCATAGAAGACAACCCACATCCTAGACTATGGTAAGTTCATAGAAGACAACCCACATCCTACAACTCTAGTAACACTAATCAGCTACTTATCGGATTTACCAGTTTACTATTTATATGCCAGACTTACCTGACTGACCTCACTGAAATAGGATTATTATTTTGAGTGCGATCAACTGAACCTAACATCATGTCACAGCTAATACAAACACCAATTACCCAGTATGCAACAACAATAACAACACAAGCAGATCAAGGACTGTCTCAACCCTGTCTACCTGTAATGTCTTCCACCTTTTTATCAGTCATTACAACTAGTGTGATATCATCAACAGCCTCATCAGCCAATATGACATTCACAGTACCATCCATGGAAAATATGTCTGCAAGTTTCCATTCAATTGTCTCCGATTCTCCACATTAACCTTGTTTGGACAATACTGTATCTCAACCCATGAGTACATTTCCGATCTCAACAGCATATAAAGCAGATCTGTTACTACCACAGCAACAATACCATGTAAATAGAGAACAACAGATTAATACAGACAATGAATGTACATCTGAAATCTCCAGTACAAATATAAGTGACATTATAAGAGGTATAGAGTCTCAAATCAGCACCTCACTAAATAAATTAATTCCAGAATCAATCAATAGCTCCATGGCAGTGTACAATCAAAGACTGTCTGAGACTGAAGAATCTATACGACAACTAAAAGACATCAATGATTCCTTTGAATCTGATCTGATACAAGCCAACGATGAAATTATTGGTTTAAATAAACGTCTGGCAGAACTTGAAGCAGAAGCAAACAAGAATGAACAATATTCACGCAAAAGTAACATTAAGATAACTGGAGTAGAGGAAACAGAACATGAAGATTGCAAGGCATTAGTTCTCGAAGTTGCCCAGCGGATAGAAGCAAATATTTCCAATAATGATATTGATGTTGCACATAGAATTGGACTAAAAGTACCTGGTCAAAAGAGGGCACTGATTGTAAAATTCAACACCAATGACTCCAGACAATCTATGATCAAAAACAGGAAGAAACTTGCCAAATCTGGTATTGCTATTCATGAGGACGCCACTGTAAAGAATGTCAAGTTGATGAAAACTGTTAGAAATATGGATTTTGTGAAAGACTGTTGGATGTTCAATGGGAAAATCTTCTGTTCGTTTGAAGGGTTTGATAGTCGTTGTCATCGTACAGAATTGGACATAAATTCAAATCCTCACGCAATATATCAACAACTTGTGAATAGCAGATCTATGTAGATATGACTCTACTATTGAATTGTTACTATCCATGATGAAAATGTAACATAAACAAACTAAGGCAATGAAATAGCCTAGTGACGTTTCTGAAATATTACCGCTTTTATAACCACTCTTGGATATTATACACATGTATCCTAATACATTACTTGATTTCAGTTGGGTTCATTCATTCATATATTTTATATTCTGTATATATTTACTGACCTTGCTTTTTTACGATTGATTAGTTCTTTAACATTGAGTATCAGACTTAGAATATGAATTTATGTCTTATAATTAACATGATCGATTCCCATTTGAGATATCAGTTGATTCTTCCATTCACCTTTAAAAATTAAAGTAGTGTCATTTGATACGAACATTTTTTATCACTGTTCGACTTAATTCTTAGATTAGATTTTTGTACCACTTATTTTGTTCTCGTATGTGTGGGTATAAACGTCTGAAAATGACGTCACCTACTATGTTTAATTATGTAAATCATATTTGTTATTACCAATAAATTGAATTGAATTGAAAAAAAAAAAAAAAAAAAAAAGGTAAGTTCATAGAAGACAACCCACATTCTAGACTATGGTAAGTTCATAGAAGACAACCCACATCCTAGACTATGGTAAGTTCATAGAAGACAACCCACATCCTAGACTATGGTAAGAACATAGAAAACAACCCACATCTTAGACTATGGTAAGTTCATAGAAGACAACTCGCATCCTAGACTATGGAAAGAACATAGAAGACAACCCACATCCTAGACTATGGTAAGTTCATAGAAGACAACCCACATCCTAGACTATGGTAAGTTCATAGAAGACAACCCACATCCTAGACTATGGTAAGTTCATAGAAAGCAATCTAATTTACATTGTAGGCTCTGAAAAGAAAGGCATTGGTCTTGTAGAAAACATTTGTAGATAATGCAAATTATATATTTAATTGTACGTTACAGAATATATTAATTTCAAAGGTTGAATGTTTAAAAATCACCTCTTGAATTTCCAAAATAATTTTCATTAAAAAGTAGTCATGTTTGTTTCTTAAGGCGACTTTTGGCAGAAACTGCACTGGAGCAGTTGAATCTTAAGGTGGCTGAGCAGGCATTTGTCAGATGTAAAGACTATCAGGGGATAGAGTTTGTAAAGAGACTTGGCAATCTACAGGTAAATTATTATACTTTTATTAGTACTTCTTTACTTAGAAACATCGACAGTCAACATATTTGGGTCCCAGTCAGAGTTAAAGAAAATCTTTTTATCGTACCTAAAAAGAGGCACAGTTTTGTTGTCAGCTTTACAGGCGGGTGGCATCTCACTTCTTTGTCATAACGATTCCAGGAAAACCACTTAATGGAATTTCTTCAAATTTTTACACATCTGGATTGGTCATGAAACATTATTTTAATTTTAAAAGATATCTAAAGCAATGTTGCACAGTTGTATTTAAATAGATTTGAACAGTTACATTGAAGAATTAACTTGATTGACTTAAATCTGTGTCTTACATCTTCAGAATGATTCAATGAAGCAAGCTGAAGTTGCAGCATATTTCAAAAGGTTTGAAGAGGCTGAGAGAACATATTTGGACATGGATAGAAGGTACAGAATAATAGAATATCTGCAGTCTGTTTCTTATGTCATATTTCTCAATCATAATTTAGAAATTAAGAAAATTGTTTTGACGAAGATTTCTATATGATTCAAAATATGCCTCGTGACCATTTTCCATTAGCAAAGTCATGTTCATAAAGGTCATTTAATAAAGAAAATACATGTATTCTGAATACTCTATTGCAAGAGAGTAAACATGTATTCAGAATAGATTGTACATGTATGCATATAAATGTTATTCAGGGACTTGGCTGTGAGTTTACGTAAGAAGTTAGGTGACTGGTTCCGTGTTGTCCAACTGTTGAAGACAGGGGCAGGAGGGGGTGATGATGTTCAGCTAGAGGAGGCTTGGAATGCTATTGGAAACTACTATGCTGATAGACAAAAATGGTAGGCAATAAGATCCCAAGGCCTTATCCATAAAGCCATCATAGCAAAGATAAACCCTGTTTTCATTAACCGATTATGTTTGACATTAGATATAGGATTCAGCCTGTGGTCCTTTGAGAGAGACATATATTTTCCTTAGGATAAACCCGATATCCAAAACCAGCCATTGCATAATGCTCATGTATTTGCAGGCAGCAGGCTGTCACCTACTATCTCCAGGGCAGGAACCAGGAAAGGTTGTCTGAGTGTTACTACATGCTGGAGGACTACTCAGGATTGGAGAAAATGGTGGCTAATTTGCCAGAAAATCACCGCCTTTTGCCAGTAAGTCATTTCATGGACATTAAGGGTTATTTTTGTACCTTGATTAGTCTAGACCAGAGATGATGCTAGTAACTTACCAGAAATCCATCACATCTTTACATATAAGTAATAATTATATGCACATGAAGTTGGAGGTCTCTCTGATGTTCCAAATTTGTGTAGAATTAACAGTTGTACCTCACATTTTGAAGAGTCTTATAACAGTACCAGTAAATATTGTGTAATGTTTTTCCAGGAGATTGGTCACATGTTTGTCACGGTGGGCATGTGTGAACCTGCAGTGGAAGCATATACTAAGGTATACACGATTTTTTAAAAACATTTAGTTTGCACTTATCAAAACTCACATCAATTGTTATTGTGGCATTTGTGGCAAGTTCATAAAATGTCTCCAAAAATAACTTTGTATTCAGGATTTTTAGCAAATATGAAACAAATGACTTCAAATGGTGGATGATTGCCACAAAGAAACTGAGGTTCCATGATAGACCCACACGATGCATTTGAATATAGTTGATTACAGTTTTCAGAGGCTTTCTTTAATTCATCTATTTCTGATTGACTTACAGTGTACTAGAGTTAAGCAGGCTATAGATGCTTGTGTGCACCTGAACCAGTGGAACCAGGCTATAGACTTAGCCAAGAAACACAATGTCAAAGAAATTGATGGCTTACTGGCAAAATATGCTCAGCACCTACTGGAGAAAGACAAGAAACTCAATGCTATAGAGTTGTACAGAAAAGCCAGCCGCTATTTGGAGGCAGCCAGATTACTTTTTGATGTGAGTTTCTATTAAAAAACAATTTTTGATACCATATTATACATTTTAGATTATACAAAATCTGATTAAATCACTTGCCATTGAATCAGCCCAGTAGAGTTGTGTTACAGAAACAGGATAAAAATTCAAAATGTGAACTTGCATGAGATCAGACTTTGAATTTGACTCTGCAGAATGTGGTAGTTTGTCATTACTGAAACCCTTATTAGTGCTAGAAATACCAATAACATTTAGATTTGAATATTCTTTGATGTCAAAACCAAGAAATAATGACAAATTTTTGTAGCCACCATCAGTGTCACTGCCAATGTCAGTGTAGGGCATTGGTGTTCAGCATCTGTAACAAATTGTTACACTATTGTAATCATTTGGGAACTACTTATTGTGACACGTGGTGACATCTTTTAATTTTTCAGATTGCCAAGGTAGAGGCTGACAAAAAGAGTAAGCCAATGAGGGTGAAGAAACTGTACGTCCTCGCTGCTTTGCTAGTGGAGCGATACCATGAACATATGAAACACAGCTCTAGAAAGGGCAAAGACAAGAGATCTGAGGTAAATACTAGTACTGTACAATATATGCTGCACAGTGCAAATACATATACGTTTTGCTATTCTTTCATTGAGATTTGAGCAAAGAGAACTCATTCACTACATCACCCTCTACTGTACAACTGTAGGGAAAGGTGTTGGACTCATTTTTTACTTGGGTTTTTAATCTCATCTCTTGCTGTATAGTTCATTATAGCTCTGTTTTATATGTTAGCCAATAATGAAAGTGTTCTGTGTTGTATTGTAGACTACATCTGCTCTAGCTGGACTTCTAGAGGAAGATGTGACATCACTAAGTGATACAAAGATTATAGATAATGCCTGGAGAGGAGCAGAGGCCTATCATTTCTTTTTGCTTGCTCAGAAACAGCTTTATGATGGTAAGAAATAATTGTGATAGTCAGCAGGTCAAGCATTATGATGTTGGTTATGATGTTATCACATTTTGAATGGACCTTAATGAACTTTAACTCCCCAATGTCACATAATGTAAGGTTAAAATGATTTTGGAAGGAAATTGGGATAAATCTACTCATAAGCTCACTGTTACCAATATTCCTAATATTATCAGTGATGTTTTCCAATTTTACATTTACAGGGTGGGCCAAAAAAAACGCCACTTTTTTTCAAGACACTATAACTTTTTTATTTTCCAACCTACATACCCCAAACTTTGCAGTTATATAGTGTCAGGGGTTCTTAGTAATAATATGATGTAACAAGTCCTTCAACTTGGATAATATTTGATCTAAAAGAGGAGTTCAATTGGTCTGTCACCCTATTTGATGATAGATTTTAGTTTTAGTTGCCTTGCTGATGTAGCAGTATCAATGGAATGTTAGCTAAATTGTTTTCAACATGTCTTAATAGCCAGCTTTAGTTGAGCAATTTTTTTGATTGGGTGCCTTAATACAATCTCCTGGAGACATTCCCATACCCTATACTCACTTGGGTTTGCATCAGGGCTATTAGCTTGGTGGTCATCAGGCCATATCAGTTCAGGAACATTTTGCAAATTATGCTTATTTCTTATGGCACACCACATGTTTAAGTGAGACGCTGGTGACATATTTTATTCAATGAAAGTGTATAATTCATGATTCATGTGTAGATAACAACCTCAAGTTTCATTTGGTATGCAAATTATGATTTTGAACCAAGAATTAAAAAAGTTATAGCATTTTGAAAAAAAAGTGGCGTTTTTTTTGGCCCACCCTGTATATTCATTGATCGAATCTAAGAAAGAAATATTTGGGTCAATTAGGTGGATACAGTTAGCCAATGAGGAAATTTAACTACCAAGATTTGTTTATGATAATTAAACTCATTGTTTTATTACACCTTTCCTGACTGTAGGCCAGGGAAATCTTCCGGCCAGTGGCTCACCCTATTGAGGGTCATTTCATTCATCCCTTATGTATTGTATTCATCTGAAGTTGAATACGTCCTCCATACTAAAGGCTAACCCACATATGTCCATATTTCAGGGTATGTTGATTTAGCCATGAAGACAGCCCTACAACTAACAGAGTTTGATGATATGATGGACCCAGCTGATATATACTCTCTCCTTGGTAAGTGACTTTACCATAAAACAATGGACATCAGTATATTCATTTAATAACACAATGTATCCCCATTGATACTAGTTACTTTTGTTAAGGTACTAGTTACTTTTGTTAAGATACTTGTTACTATTTAAATACACTCTGTCTCTTCCATATTGAAACATAAATATTAAATGTATGCTCATATTTCTTCATTGTATTGTGTATTATTCATGTATATGTATCCTGAGTATTAACATTGACTATTCAGCATTGACAGCCAGTGCTAACAGGGCATTTGGAGGATGTTCTAAGGCATTCATAAAGCTGGAGTCTCTCGAGAATATACAGGAAGAGCGCAAAGAACAGTTTGAAGAACTTGCTCTTGAAATATTTACAAGGTAAGTTTTTTTATTTTTCATAATTATCCTGATGAACAAAGTTTGATATTAAAGTATTTTGTCAGTCAGTCGGTCAGTCAGTGGCATTGCAAAAGATTTTTACTTTGGGGATGGGTTAGACAGCTTTTTTAAACATAATACACTAAACTATGTTGTTATTATCTATTCCAGACATGCACCTAAGGACACCAGAAGCAACAAGACAGAATGCCCCAACTGTGATAGTCTCATGCCTGACTGGTAAGTGTTGTAAACTCTTTTGAAACTGTTAAAGGTAGAATCTGTGAAATGGGGTGATAAAATTGCAAGCAATATTTATTAATCAGTCAGTGCTGCCATTTACTGTTAGTAGCTTTCATAAACTTAAGTTCCTGAGTCTACTGTGACATCATACTTAATACATGGTTACAATAATTCATTTCAGAATTGTTTCAGTATTTTTTCAATGGAGATCTATGAAGTCTCATTAAATGGGTATAGTTATAAAGATGAAATGTATCAATTCATCAAAATCATAGATACAGATATCCACTTTAATGAATTGAACACTCATGAATAAATCTATCTCTTTGAAAAAGATTGTCATGCAATGTTTAAAGATTATGATATTGCAATTACTGAGTTAGTTAACAAGACATTTGCCATAACGTTTAGAATATGATCTATATTTATTCAGGCTTATACAAAATCTGTATTTGAAGTAAGAAAATATACAAAATGATAAAAAAATCATAAATGTATTGTATTGTATTCTTCTGAGCTGCACTGAGTTTTGCATCTAGTGTGCATATAAAATGAGTCTACATGTATATGTATTCTCTTGTATTAACAAGACATCATAGGTGCATGTTAAGAACTTTAATTTGATATTTATATTTACATGTTAAGGGATTGAGTTAACACTGGTCTAATGATTCTATTGGTTATTTCCAGCTGATTTTTTCATCGCATATTAAAAAAGAATATTAACATTATAACTGTCCTAATGATATTTAAACTGAGCTACTCTCAGATTGTTGATTAAGCAGAGCCTTGCATATCTCATCCTGTGATATATGAAATGGAATAAAGTAGTCTAAATATTGACCTAGTCAATAAGTAAGGTTTTTAGATATTTGCTTCCACTATCTATTACAATGCCAGACATGAAAAGATGCAGAATGCCCAGTAACAGTGTCATCAAATTAATTGTTTGTTTATAGTTCCAGCCCTTTAGATAAGCATGAGGTTCAGTTTGGTTGTGATGATCACTTGAATGTTCTAAATTATGTGTAGTTGTACATGTACTACACAGAGCTATGTCATCAACACTCTGTGTGACATCATTATGTGTGATATCATCCCCTATATTGTCAGTTATATTTAGATTAACTTCCTCACATGTATAATGGTAATATTTGATATAAAAGGTATCACAGGGAACGCCATAGACATGAAGTTCTTTGTCAGAATGAATGCCCCCTGCTGCTATTCCAATAATTGCCACACAAGCTATTAAACTTATCCAACTAAAAAATAGAAGTTGCTTAAACATATCAACTGTCCGTCCATTCTCTTTCTTCACAGCAATGTTGTGCGATAGAATCCCTGGTATAATTATAGCAATAGACCCCCACAGTCCTGGGCACCACATATACAGAGATGGTTGAAATACTAGAGCCACAATGCTCAGTACCACTAAGTTAACAGGTGTAATGGCTAACCACATGCCAAGTCCTACGAATCCTTTCAAAGGCTCTGGATATTCAAATGCTGGGTGTTTTTTAATATGATGATATCTATTAAGTAATGCACATGAAATCAGGAAACACTCAATATAAGCAATGACTACAAATGCAAGGTTGAATTGCTGCTTTTGGTTTAAACCTAATCGATAAGCATGTGTCGTTGTTTCATTTGTTTCAAGGGTTATATTCTCACACATGAGATCTCTGTCACTGTCCAAAAAGCCATTGGTGCATGACTTTCCATAAATATGTGTTCCTCTATATCTGTCCACATACATGCCATAAGCTGATATGGCAATTATTGCCAGACTTTCCAATAGAAAAATATGTAATAACAGGGATGCGAATTTAAAACTGAGAATCCTCTTTTTCCCTGTTGATAAATTTTCCACTTTACCTAGAAAAACCCACATCGGGAAAATAGTTATAGTCACTATGAATCCATGAAAACAGTTCCACATGGCCACATGCTCAGCAATTACTGCGATTTGGAGAAAGAAGAAACTCCAACCAATGAATGTCGCAAACTTGCATGTAGTTAAAAAATCTTTCCCATGGCTTCGCTGAAAATTATCATTAAAGTTATCAGATTGTGTCAACCACTCATATATCCTTTCTCTGTGTGCTTGTAAGTTCCTGTTGAGGTTTTGTATGAGAGATTCATGGCAATTTGGTTCAACCACAACTTCGGGGGGATCAGTTTGGTTTGCAGACTCAGCTTCTTGAGGTTGAGGATTGGATTGTGTTCCCCTATCTGTGACATCTCGTGTCATCCATCTTGCCACCATTTCCTCAACTGACAGTGTTATCGGTGTAAGATTAAATGATCCAGACATTGCATCATTGTATGAGGGTGGTTTAGGGACACTATACAATGTTGGATTATTAACAATATCTGTATATGTAGGTAGGTCGTGATCATCAAAGCCTCTATTGTCAATACTGTATATATGCCTTCTTTCCTCATTCTGGGTTGTAATCAAAGGTCTGGCAATGTTTTCCCTCACTTGGCCTGCTGGCGTATCTTGAGCTGTTTGGTTAATGAAATCAGCCAACCAACTCTCAACACTTGTTGTAGAACTGTTCTCAGAGCTGGATATTAAAGGGCCATTACCGGGAAGGGCTGAGACAGAAGGAGGATTACGAATGTTCCAAATTTCCCTGTTTCTGTTTTCCAAATCACTGTTACCTGCTGGCTGAGTTTGTTGAGGAAAGTTGGTACCAGATTCAGCCATGGTGTTTTCTACCCATCTTACTACTCTATCAGTACTATTATTTCCTTCTGGCCATGGTAACAGAAATGCATGTTGAACATTTGAGGTATTATTCATCTGTGCTTGAGCTCCATCTTCAGTCAGGTTGACTTCCTGATGAATCGGTGGTAAGGTTCTGGCATCATTATTTGTTTGGGTATAATTTATAGACTGGGACACTGTGTCATCTGTGTGTGTTGTAACAGCTGGTGTAAGTAAGAATTCCCAGTCAGAAGTCCTGTCTATTGTACTATCACTATCACTTTCACTATTATGTGTATCAATCAGAAAGCATTGAGGGATACACCTGTCTTCTGCATGTTGAGCACTTGGTCTTGTGTCCTCCTCATGAATAATTAGATTGCTTGCTGTAGGATTAATGGCATTATTTGAACTTGTAGGAGGGTCTTGCAATGAGGATAAATTGCTGGATGCAGTCTCCCAATCACTTTCATGTTCTTGTATGTTTGATAATGTTTTGATACTATTGGATGATTGTGAGTCCGTGTCATGGCTAGAATTTGCATAGAAAATACTTGAGGTAGTGGGCACATCATCAGTATGTTGTCTTGGTAAAGAACGTTCGGCATCGGGTGATAATGCCATTTGGTCCATCCTATTTAAGGATATGATATCAGCAGCTGTAAATTGTGTTTCACTGTCAAAGTGATTAAATGTCAAATCTTCTGTACTATCTTGTCTAGTCAAAGATGGGTTATTAGAAGTGGATGATTGTGTATCACAGTCGTTTGATGGTATTTCCTCCATATCATCTTGTCTATTCAAAGCATCTGAAGTTTGTGTACCACAATGATTCATTGTGATTTCTCCTACACTATCCATGTTGTAAATTGATGGAACACCTGTATGTAGAGATCTCTCAATATTACTAAATGGCATAACCCTGTCATTTCTCTCATGTTCAGAGTGGTTATAGACAATTGATGAAGTGGCATAGTTCTCTATTGTCAAATTGTCACTTCTGCTCACAAATATTCCATCAGTGTTTAGTATTACAGGACTATCAGTTTCTTCTCCATGTTCTACACTCCTTATATTGAAGTTATCTCCATTCTCTGTACTTTCAATACATCTATCCTCTTCTTGGTCAGACATATCTGTAGTAAACCATCAAGTGTTCATTTCCAGTGTTACATTTATGTATCAATTACAAAAACTGCATTTATTGCATTTAGTGAATTTAGTTGATTCTTTTTGCTAAGTTCATCCTGTTTACTTCGCTGTCTACTTTGTACATACATTTATGTGTCATCAACTAAACTTTGATCTTCTTTCATAAATTCAGTATTTCTAGTTTCTCAGCCAACTTGTGTATCTGTTTTATGTCATTTACTTGATATGCGTTGGTTGTACCTTAGTTGTACCTTAGCTATGGCTGGTTATTATTGATTTATCGCCTACTCTCTCTATGAGGGTCCCCTCTTTGTGTTTGTTCTCTAGTTCCAATAGCAAAGGATTTATTGGATCAATACCTGGCTATTTATATCCTATTAGTGTGTGTGTAGGTACTTTCTTTGCAGTTGTATGGATTTTATACACAGATATTTATAATGGTTTCTATATGCAAGTATTTATGTCTTGTTTGCTTTAATGAAAAGCTCCTTAGTGGATTTTGGTAAATCCCCATGCACGAAGATCAACTTTTCAACTTAAACCAACAAATGTAATTGATGTCATCTTTAACTTTTCAAAGACATGGAGTCAGTGAAACCTTACAGAATAAATAACCCTATGAATGTCAATGTTATTTACACCATTTCATCAGTTTGAAGTTTTGAAATTGTTTATATAATCAGATATAAATACTTACTTTCCAAAAAATCCAAAAAGGAGGGCACTTGTTTGCATGTTAGGTGATGTAATCTTTGTGGACTGGGGGCAAGCTAGTGGTATCGTTTTGATAATTTAGTTAAAAGTTGTAACATTTTTGTGACCATATATGGGGATCTTTCTGGGAATTTATATTTAGAATGCTAAATGATTTATAACATTATCTGATTATTGAATTACCAATTATCAATTATGATAATTTTACATGCATCAAGACTGTGTAACCCCCCCCCCCCTTCTATGCACTTCTCCATCTCCTTGACCAGATTGAAACTCGTTGACTCCTGGCCTCTTGGTTTGCACTTGTGCCCCACCCTGTATGCACTGTCGTACTTCATTTAATAAAGATCTTGTCATTCTAAATACAACATGTAAACTACATCACAAGTTGTGTAAATAATGAAAGTTGATATGTTATGTTTGATTTCATAAAAGTATCATGTTCCTTAGATTCTTGTTAATACTGTAGTCAATAAACATACAATTTTGATTTATTGTTTATCGATTTATTGTTTGCTTCTAGGTCTTCAATGTGCTCCAGTTGTGACACAAAGTTCCCAACATGTATAGTTACTGGCCGACCATTGATGGATTATCAGTTCTGGATGTGTAGCACATGTAAACACAGAGCATACGAGGACCAAATTGCTAACAGACAAACATGTCCCCTATGCCACTCTATGGTATGATGACTAAATAGCAGACAGACAAACATGTCCCCTATGCCACTCTATGGTATGATGACTAAATAGCAGAAAGACACACATGTCCCTTATGCCATTGTATAGTATGAAGACCACATATCAGACAGATGGAAAACCTCCATCACCCCATAGTTTGAAGTATTTTGTGAAAAGTGAAAAGACTGAATGCATTCCATCATATGGACTGAGTTCATCAACATGTATTCCATCATATGGACTGAGTTCATAAACATGCATTTCGCTCAGTGCACTGCCTTTCTGACTCACATCAGTTGGAATGCAAAAAAATATAAATTGAAACATATTTATTATAAAAACTGATATTTATTAGGGATTATGTTGTGAGAGAAAACTGTAATAAACTATGTTGATAAAGAATTTAACCACTGGGGCTTCACACTTGTGAAAATGCAACATCCCATTTGACTCCGTCCCGTCGTTGGCACAATTAGCTTGTTACGATTTTTATAATTTTTTCATGAGAAAATGATGTCAAACGTCCTATGTGTATATTTTGTAAAATAATGTTTTATCCAATCATCTTTCGATCTCATGACGTAATACTCCTATTTCCTAATATTGTAACAATACAACAAGGGTCACATATTACATTTACTATTCTTATTCAAACTGAGAGGAGTGGAGTTGAACATTTTCTCAAAGCAATTTATTGTTGATTATTATATTTGTATATAATGTATGGTTTGATTATAAATTGTATAAAATTATTTAAGATACTTTTATTTGTCAAATTGTAAAATAGATGTATATTGTAAACAATATCTTTTTGTGTTATATTATTATAATGATACTCCCCTTTATAAGTATAGTAACCTAAATATTCAATTAATATATTTCCAAACTAGATAAAATGAAAAATTATTTCTCTTTGTCTTGGGAAAAGCTTAGCTTTTTAGGCAAAGGAATTCCCATATCATTTGGGTACACTCTTGGGACACCCGATGGTTGGGAAAAGAAATCCTTGATATGTAAGTATATTATTTCAGGAGAGAAGCGCAACTTGTAACAATAACAAATAAGATATTGTGTTGATTCACATACTTTATTTATAAAAGGCAAAAGTATATTTTGGTACATGTAACAGTATTAGAATTGTGATAATGAAAATCACTAGAATTTGAATGTTATTGATGATGTACAATTTTGTCAAGATACTTTCAGGGGCATTGTGTCCACATTCATGTACTTTCTCTACATATAGCTTTATTCTAATGTCCTGCATGTATAAAGCCATTTTTATTTCATGAAAGTATAAACGCGTATATAAAGCTCTAATGAAATTAAATCTTTGAGCAATTTACATTGATTGCTTACACAGATTACCATCATGTCAATGCAAACTTTTTCTATATTTTTACTTTTACCATTAACATAATCCAATTTTCATACAGTCATTATTGACCTCTCCCCTCTCATATGTTAGGCAACACATTTTCATTTAGTGGTTGGGTGATAAAATCATATTTTTCAATATCATTTATGAGTAAATTTATTTTTAAAATCTCACTTCAAAAATCATCGCACAAGATTTGTAGATTGTTCTGTTATACTTTGGATTCCTTGTTGAATAATTGCAAAACATTTGTGACGACCCCTAAGGATTGTTTATCGCAGTGCTCCCTTAGGCTTTACATCTCTGTTAGCCAAGAGTCTGAAGAAAAAGTCCTGGAATGCCGAGTGCATAAAGGAGAGAGGAATAAAGAATAACTTGGAATCTGAGCCCACTTGGTATCTGTTCCTTGGGTAGACAGAGAACAGGGCGTGGCTGTATGCATTCACAACATCCATCAACTTGGGGGAGAGGAATTGTTCTGTTTTCTCCTTCATCATACCACAGGCTGAAAGGAAGATTAGAAGAGTCTTGATACAATCATAAACCATAGTGATCTGTTGGTGAAGTTACAGAGAGTGGAAGTTGCACTTTGAGTTATACACCATCTCATAATTGGCTGACTATCAGACTGACTTTTTAGTATGGATAAAGTGCATATGGCATGATTTCACATAATACTACAAATACAATTAAATTACTTTGATATATATTTATATGATGCATACTAATGGCATTGACATCTATTTATATCAGATACATATTTTCAATAGAAATCAAAAGTCATAGAAATCAAAAGTCATAGAAATAACAATTTTTATTTTTGATATTCTTGAATAGTTTGACCCATATTGATACAATAATGGATGGGCCCCATACAGCCATAGTGGCAAAATAATGGTTGGGCCCCATAGTGGCAAAATAATGGATGGCCCCCAGAGTGGCAAAATAATGGTTGGGCCCCATAGTGGCAAAATAATGGCAAAATAATGGTTGGGCCCCATAGTGGCAAAATAATTGATGGGCCCCATAGTGGCAGAGTAATAGGTTGGCACCCTGGGAAAGGCACCATATTAGCACAGTACCTGCATCTATGAACTCATCCCCATATTCATCCTTCACCTCTTGGGGTGCTTGGTTGTAGGACCTCCTGAAGCTGGCAACATTTAGGTCAACATTGGTGATAGATGTTTTGTGGAACCCTGGCTCTATAATGTGGACGCTGCATTTGAAGGCCCACAAATTAAATCTGAAACCGGAAATGGAAGACCTGGGATATCACTAACAATCAAATCACTTGCTGTTACTCCTAGACGTGTTATAACTGTCATCGCCAAGACATATCGTTATAGTCACTGTTTTTAGTGATTGGTTATTAAGAGTGATGATATTTCATGTATTTGTGTTTTGATTTCCAATTGACAAGTTGCCATATACCAGATGGTAGATAAATAAATAGACACCATGTGTGTTCAAAGCTAGTAAAGCCTCTATTATGAACGGTGGCAAACATGTTAGAATATAAAAAAATGAGCTGCATCAATACTGCTGAAAGCCAGAGTAACTTAGACAAATAGATTACCTCAGCGCATCAGAGAATGATTCCACGCCATATTTAGATATACAATATGGAACAGTCGCAGCAATTGTGACTCTGCCAACAATACTAGCTGTGTTCACGATACGTCCCTGGGCCTTCTTGATCAATGACTGAAATTCAGTGGTGACATCTATCAACCCCAGAAGGTTGACACTGAAAACTTTGTTATAGTCCTCTAATGTGAGCCATTCTGAGGGCCCAAGAGCTCCAGTCAGTCCGGCATTGTTCACTAAACCCCATAGACCTGTTAAAAATAGCAAAAAAGTATTTAATTTACAATATTTTCATAGATTTATTATCTATTTAGCTACTGTATCATCATAGGAATGAGGATAGACCCTTCTGAAGTCTTGGATTCTACTTATTTCTACCAAATTATACTTCATCTTGAATATTCTGAGCTTTATTGGTTGTATATCAGTATAAATGTATAGATGTACTGTGCAGTGTTCTACATAACTGCACTTTTCCAATACAGTACAGTGTTTGATGAGGTCTGTGAATTACACTATAAATAAACAAACACAGATAGGGAAACTGAAACCAGTGGTGGATCTGGAAGCTTTAAAGTTAAAGAATAAGGCCCAAGTAATGCCCAAACAGGCCAACTTACTGAGGCCCTACAAACTTTTTAGCCTTTAAAATCTGGGCCCACTTCCCTCCAAATCCACCAGTGTGTCTTCCCAATGGTACATATTGTCATAATGAGACATGTCCATGGCTAAAAACTTGATAAACTGACATACCAACTCCTTGTGGAAGTTTTCCCTTGACATAATTAGCACCATCCACAACACTCTGATGGTCTGCTACATTCATGTGGAACACATCAACACGTGTGGAGGTCTCATCATCGAGGTCCTTCTGGCCCTTCTCAGTCAGACATGCAGCAAATACATTGCACCCCATTTTATCAAGCCTTGAAATAAAGGAATTAATTGACATGTATTATTTGCTTCTAATTACTTCTTGTTTGGTTGTCCGTCCATCTGTCTGTCCATCCGTCCGTCCGTTCAGGCAATAACTCAAATACTGTTGGCCTAATTTTGTTCATATTTTGTACACATAAACCCTATGGGAGTAGAAGTTCTGCTCGAAAGCCGATTTTCAAAATGGCTGCTCATTTAAAAATGGCGGCCATTTTAGTGCTGATTTTACAGTAATTTAGGTACAATATGTAAAACTGTTATGGCAATTTGTTTTAAATGTAAAAAAATTATATAGGCCATTAATAAAGCTAGAAATGTACATATAAAAGAAGCACATGGCAGCCATCTTGAAAAATGGCGGCCTTTACTTGCTATTTTACGATTTTTGCTGTAACTCGGAAAGTAGTGGAGCGATTTTGTTCATATTTGGTATGCGAATACGATAAGCATGGCGCACTGTCTAATGACACTTTTGGTAGAAGGTGGCCATTTTGAAAAATGGCCGCCATTTTAACATATTTTATTATAACTTGAAAAGTAGTGGAACGATTTTGTTCATATTTGGTATGTGAATACTATAAGCATGGCACTCTGTCCAATGACTCTTTTGGTAGAAGGTGGCCATTTTGAAAAATTGCTGCCAGTTTTGCTATATACTTTATTTGTAAAAATGCCAGCCATGGCTGTTCGATGGGATTTGCTACGCTTTGGCGTTGCTGTTGTCTAGTTATATATTCCATGAAGCATTAAGCCTAAGAATTGAAAATAGATGAACTAGTATTCATTTGAGATTTTTACCAGATATTTGTGATTTTACATGGCTATTACATGTATAGCTATTCAGGTATCCCAATATGGGGGTGATTTACAGATCTTTCCTAGTTTCAAAAGGCTTAGTGAACATATGGTGAACAGGTTGTAGTAAGTGTATAACGATTAAACTAATCTCACAAAGCTGTAAATAATATTAAGAGATCAGAAGGCCTATCAATATTCACATTTATAGACAAGGTCAGCTTGTTACATCTGACAAGTAAAGGTCAAATAATAAGAACATGTTTATCAAGCCCATTTGAATTGATGGCAGTATATAACTGTATCAACCCTTTTATCCCTAGCAATATCTAGGATAGCCATGTCAATATTTCGGATAGCCATGTCAATATCTAGGATATACAAGTCACTATTAAGGACAAATGCTACCGTCATATAGTAATGGCTGCAGAAACGAGCTACAATATAAGACCCATTCTATGATTTGCTAACTAAACGTATATGCATGCATGCATTCAGAACAAAGTGACACAATAGAATTATGAATTCTTAAATTCAGTTTCATGTCAGGCTACCCTCATTTATTTATGATGTTGCAATATGCTACGAGGACATTGTAAACACATCACTGTGTGTACTTAGCTTCTACCAAAACTACAATTCATGTACCCCCCCCCCCCTCTGAGGTACCCCCTTGCCCAAATGTGTTCAATAATGTTGAACATTGAATTGCATTGAAAACAACTTTGACTTACTTCTTTGCCAAAAGATTTCCAAATCCTGTGTCACAGCCTGTGATGAGTACATATTTCTTGGTGATCCCTCCAACCTTTGGCAGTCTGATCAACCAGTCTATAACAAGATACACCACAAACCCTACAACTATGTAGAAAAACATTTCTTCTGATCTGGTATTAATCACAACTCTACTATAATGTAAAGCTCCAGTCTGGTGTTGAACTGTGTACTCTAAACCTATAAACCTATATACTCATACTAGACTATCAGCATAATGCAAAGTGCACACTGTACGCTATATTCCTTTACTTGTTATTTTATTGCTTTTCAAACCTATTCAGTTATTTGGCCTTATTTGGCACCAATAAGATAGAAAACCCCATTTGTACAGTCCTACATAGTACTAACTATATAAAAAAGAAACCCCATTGATTCAATAAATCTTTAACTGAAGTAACATAAAGAAGTTAACATCTGGGCACTCTTCCATGTTTGTATGTAGCACTGTAAAATGTGTAAAAACTAGAAATAAACAAAACTCACTATAAACCAGTAATAGTTAACACTTCATTTTATAAAAGCTATTGTTACACTGACATGAGATTGTCCTTGTCAAAACAATGAAATCAACATATTTCAGTTTTCCTCATTTTGTTCAAATTCACAAGTTTTACTGTACTGAGTTAAGATTACTTGCTGCAAGTCATAAACATTTACTTGACATGTTTGAAATTAAGATAATCAAACTCACATGCTTTTCATTAATTTTTTAGGTTTGAGGCAAAACTCTGTTAATACATTTCATGATCATACATATACTGTTTTAATTAAGAAAAATATAACAACTTGAGCGATCTGTGTTTACATTGGATAAACATTGACTACTACTATGTGTACCCTCTGTCACTAGTCTAGCACAAGCCCTTGTGACCCCCCCCCCTCAACTACAATACAACTGTGTTGGGTTGGTGAAGTAGATACAGGTGAGGGTCCAAAATCTTGAAGGAAGACAACCCTGTGACTTGTGACATACTCATCACCTCCTACAACTTTGATGGCAAGTTAGGTGAGAGGGAACTCATTCTATAAAGTATACAGTTGTTGCTTCTTGACAACCTCATGTAAATTTGGGTACAGTCACAGGTCCAATGATCAATAAGATATGATACAAAACTGATAAATGCTTCATCAAACCATTGATAAATCACATAATTATAAAGAGGGGGGGGTGACAAATACTGTGTTAATGAATAACTTACTATGTACTAATGTGCTATGATTGGTTTGGTGTGAATTCCCAGGGTAACATGTAAAGACCTGTTTAATAGGTAATTTCAATTTTATAAGTTCCTTAATTACTATAGGTTGGAAACTACAGTACATGTATAAACATTTGTTAAAATCGCAGAACACTTACATGTTACCCAATTCGTGAATTTATTTTAAACTAATTTTTAGCGGTCATGCATATGTTTTAATAAGCCACAATTCATACCAATACATAGCATTCACCCTCGCATGTTTTTTGCCGAAAAAAAATCGGTTCGTAAATAAGCGAGAAATGAACTCATCAGTGCGTAAAAATGGTTCCGAGAAAAATGCATTTCAAAGTTTTAGTTCTCATAGAAACCAATGGTACAATGATATCTAAAACATAATATATTCTTCCTTTTAACCTGGTTAGAAAAGTTTTTGCCACCTGAATGAGTCATAATGACATCACTCATGTTGCAAAATATTTTTGATATGCTAAAACCTTGAAGTGGCCCATTAAATATGGTATTTTATTATTGAAATAGTGTGTTCTTTGTTCAATCTTTGCATTGGTGTTAAAAAGATAATCTTTTTTGAAATGCATTAAGAAATATTTGATGATTGAAAAATGTCAATTTGGCGGGAAATTTAAATATTTGAGAAATGAAATGCTCACAACTTTTTTTTAAATCTCTAAAATAACTTTTTAAGTCATGTCAAATAGTAAATGCTTGCTAAAAAAATATTTTCAAACTTAAGACGGGGACTTTAAACTTTTTGAGGGGTCCAGCATGTTCTATGTGGCCCTGGGCTCCTTAACTATTATAACTGTGCAGGGTTGGTTGGAGTAAAGGTACTGCACAGAAGTGATATTTTTTATGTTATCTATTGAGTCTTATATTGTATTTTTGACCCTCTTATTAGGCAAAATGTCAATTTCCTGAGGTTTCCGATCCCTTCTCTTAATCTCATGTAAGAATTAAGTTGAGCTTATATTTAAACTGCAACTATACTACTACACCCTATGCAGACAGAGCCTGTGAGAAATATTGGAGGGTGCGGAATTAAGTCATTTTTTAATTCAAATGTGTGATATTTCTCAAACTAAGCCATTTTGGGTCTTCGAATATATCCCTATGTGTGTAGTTGACACCTAATATCAATAAAATTGTGAAAATAGAAGTGTAATTCATCCTATAGTGATGTAGATGGATTAAACCTTTTCCAGACTTGTTTTGAAATCGTCGTTTTTGTACAGCGTGGCGGTTTGGTGAAGCAGTTGAAGTGGTTCAAGTACTCTCACAACACAAACTATCATCAAAGGATAAAGTTTTTATGTGTGTTGGTTTTTCCACACCAAATATTTCGAGGGGGCTCATACCTGACTAACATCTCCAAATTTTTATATAATCAAAGAGAAACTCTCTCGCTTCCAAGATGCAAAAAAATAATTTGTATTGATAATGTATCTTGAACACCATTTTTTATGAATGCTGGAGACACAGTAAAAAATTACAATTTCAAAATATAGAGGTCTGGGAAAGATTTAATGCTATGATACTACGTCACTATAAAATGAATTACATCACTATTTTATTTGATGAGGCGTCAACTTCACACATATGGATATATTCAAAGACTCAAAATGGCTTAATTTCAGAAATATCACAAAATCTAAATTAAAAAAAGACATCCAATATTTCTCACAGGCTATGTCTGCATAGGGTATACTATATCAGTAACTTAACCCCTTTCAAATATCCTAGTGATAATGCCACAGTCTGTATTAATTCTTATACTTCCATATGATGTATTTATTACATTTAATTGAATGAGACATACATTTCATTGGATGAGATGTTTCATATATTTAGATGAGACTTAATCATGTTTATATAAACATAACCACAAAACAATAGTTTCAGTTTTTGTATTTTTATTTGGTTATTATCCGACTCTGCTGTACAACTAAACCTGTTAAAAATATATAAAATAAAATACTGCCGTATAGAAGATACCTTAGCTTGTGTCTATACACAGCCCAGTAATCAGGCCCATGAAGTCTCGATTTAAGGTAGTGAAACCTGCCTGCCTATAACTTCCTTGTTAAAGTAAAACTGAAATGGGTAACACTACCTCAATTAAATTAGGCAGTTACATATTTCTGAGGGCTGCCCAAATGGTACAAGCAAAATCACCAAAGGACTGAAGTAAAATGCCCTAAATTCTCTAATATTCCAGTATTGGCTTTTCTGATATCTTAAAGAGCCATCTCCTAGTTGGCTGCAAAAATGGCTGGAAATTTGGATACATATCTTCACTATCAAGTGAATGGCAACATATTAAACAAAATGATACTGGAATAAAGAAATGTTGTGAGCATGCTAGTTTTCAAGATGCGGCACATTTCAACATCTCATACAGAAAACACATATGAAACATTGAGGTCTGCACCACTTAGTTCACACAATGAAATAGGTATAACCCACTACTATATCATTACTAAGCCTTTCCGAATGATTGAACCAGATCTTTCACCCGAGGAATCTGGGTCTGAACTAGTAAAAATCAACCCGACCTATTCACTGGTGTACAATTTATAAGCATTCCATATGAGATACAGAAGAAATCTACATAATAATTAAACAATTATATGATTGTGTGCTTATCAAAACCATCCCACACACATTTCTATCGTTTATTTACAAAAACCCAAGGGGACAGGTCAGAATACCCACTTTCATCAAATGAGAGTCAATATAGCAACAGTCATGAAAATGAATATTTTGACTTAACCCATATAATTACATTTCTTTTGAACACAGGCCAGTAATAAAAACATGTACAAAAATATTACAAGTATCATACAATACTACATTATAGTTTGAGAAAATTGTAGAATTGTTCAAAACAATATCTCCATTGAATATATCCTATTCTAAAATGTTTCGGCTTTACAATTCCATCAATGACTGTGTTTAAAAGCATAGAACACGAAACATTTTGACAATATAACATCAAATCTTATATGTAATTCAGTAGTGTGTCGTGCCCTTAAAGGATCTGTTTTTTATTTGCATGTACCTCGATCATATTTTAACTAACATGTGAATCCTAAAAGTGAAACATTCAACTTAAACTTAATCACTATATATTCAACTCAGGTATTTAGAAGTCCTGCAAAACATCATGTATAATGAAGAACCATTTTGTGGATAAATTCAAAAGCTTGTATAAATGTATCTCAATGAATCTGGAGGAACTAAAATGAAACAATTTGAATGTAATATCTTTTCAGTGTATCTTCATTGTTAAAATATTAACGTCATACTATTGTCCTGCCTTAAATCCTATGTACACTACTAGATGTGACAAAAACACTAGCCCATAGGCCCTGGGGGCTGTTGATCTTGTAACGAGCTAGAGATATAGAATTACATGTCAAGAGTCAAACATTCAATAACCAGTCTGAAACTCCTATGAGGCAATATGATTAGATGACATTGTTATGTTGCGTGTATTGTTGAATGCTATCTTCTAGAGTCCCTGTCTCTTGTACTGCGATCTCTACTGCTATGTCCACTATGAGATGATGTTGTACGACGCAGGAAATCATCAACATCTGCCTCGTACTGCAACATACAATATGGAATAAACATTTAGGGAACCTTTATATCATAAGCAAAAAAGAAGGAATATTTGTACATACAATAAATAACTAATAAAAACATAGCAACTCCATGGAGTGTATCAATTTTAAACATCTGAGCAAAACATTTTATCAAATCACACCAGAAAATAACCAGGCAATAAAAGTGTCTAATTTTGGTGAAAAATACTTCTGTGACATCTGACTCAGATTGGCCATGTTATATTCAATTGTCAGTACAAGGCATCATTATTCCAAATTTGCCAAAAGTTGATAAAGAAGCATGCAAACTTTAGCCAAAAGGTCTGACTTCTACAAGTCTTAAAATTTGGTGATATAACATCCAAACTTTCAAAATGACACTGTCGGTCTAAGTAAGTAAGATAAACAAACATACCCTTTTTTCTGATGTTCGCCTATGGCTGGCTATGTCTGGAGATGTCCAATAGGAGTCTCTGGGTGGAGGGGGCCTGTCATAGCCATATATAGGGTCCATGGCATAACTGGGGGGAGGCTGGAATTACAACAGAGGTGTCAGAAGGATATATGCATACAAGCAACTTGGGATAGATGTACAGAATTGGAAAGAGAGAAGATATGGTGGTTGTCACTGCATAGTGCTACTGCCTACTGTAGTATGCTATAGTTGTAGATGATATTGATAGTGTACTTACTGGTCCATATCCTGGTGGTCCAGAGGGGGGCATCATACCAGTCCTGGCAAAGTCCCTCAGGTAATCATTGTAGGACTGAAAAACAATCATAACTCAAGTCTTACTCAGGAACTACCAATTTTTACTAAACATTATGACCTTAGCCAAAACGTTTTTTGAATTCTTATGCTAATATTTCTCCAATGAGCTGTCTTTCAAAATTACTCAACACAACAGAAACTGGTAACAATCACGCACTTTATACTTACCCCGTTTAATATTGCATCATGGGATGGCCTGCTTGAGTAGCTTGATCGTGGTGACCTGAAACATACATGAAGTTTGTAGCAGCTTTTGGCAAAACTAATTTAAAGGATGCTGTGTGATTAAAGGATTTAAGCCCAAGACTCAATGCATTGTTTGCTGAATCATGACCGCGCAGCGGGAATGCAAAGTTTAGGAAACAACACTTGAGTGGTATGAAGCAGCTACAATGCATTGAGTCTTGGACTTAAATTCTTCTCACACATTGCAAATCTTTTTGATTAACTAGCGACCTTGCATGTGTTATTGATATTTCACACACTGTACATTATGTGAATACTCTGTTCAGATTGGCTGGAATCGGACACACCTTGCCCAGCTATGTGTGAATGTAACTAAACTTTACGTTTGTCAATTTCATCAAAGGGAATGGTTTAAGAGGCCCATTTACTCTCATTAAACAAGAAATTGCATAAATGATGAAATAATTTGTTTCAATGGCACTCCATTTAGCTAATAAATGTAAGTTATCTCAAAGGTGCAATCATGTTATTTTTAATCCACATTTTGTCATTTCATGTGAAAACTTGTGAAATATGTCTATTGTCTGTATAAGGTCATTTCATTGTATGCGATGCTTACCTATCTCGCCGTCTGTCTTTGCTGCCGTGGTATGGATCTAAAATGTTAACTTACAAGAATAGATTATTTGATTCATATTTCTTACGAGTTTCGTCTAGAAACATGGTTGACATTGTAATTGCATGTGTGGATAGGCAGCTTATGAGTCAAAAAATAAATTGTGTGAAAATCTTGAAATTTCTCGTAAAAAACCTGCTCCTCCCCATTGATAAAAAATTTGGCCAAGATTTTTAATTAGTTTCTCAATTTTTTTGTAGCTTATCGATATGTTGTCAAAGTAAGAGATGAAGTACTAGACTTAGTGGATAAGACTGCTATATAAATAAATTATTTATCTTTTAAATAATAAATATACCATATCGGTCGTCTCTTCTGCTTGGAGCATAACCACTCCTCCCACCACCACCTCGTCTGTCATGGCCCCTGCGTCTAAGAATACAACATACCATGGCAACCATGTTATATACATACAACATACATCTATTTAGCTTTAATACGCTCAACAATTGTCATGATTTATTTACACTTAGTGTATGGTACATCAAACTACCTTGACTGAACATGATAAATATGTCATTTAATGCCAGAAATTTCATTTCATTCAAAAAGAAAATCGATCAGCAATTTTGAAGAAATACATGAAAATGATTTAATACAGATGTATATGGAACTATAATTTGTGAATTTAAAGTATCTCATACATAACCAAAAAGTAGTATTCTAAAAAAATTACTTGTCATACCATACACAAGTTATACTTGCTGTGTATGAATACACAGTATCACGCCTAACCATCGACAATGTACAGTGACAAAATATACTGTTGTACATTTTAGCTGTACGTTGTCATGTTTGAAGCAAAAATTGTGATGTAGGTAAGATTTATCTAAGGAATATAAAGTAGTATTTCATGTTTGATTTCATGTGCTTTCTAACTTTCTAATTACGTTAATAGATTCACGAGCAGTGCTCGAATTTATTCTAGGCAATTCCACCCACACAATTGACCAGCTGGAAAATGTTCACATGGACATGGGTGGAATTACCTTGAAAAAACTTGTGCTCTGTTTGAGAATCTGTTAACGTAATTAAAAAGTTAAAAGTCTTTCCAAGAGCATGGACATGAAAACATGGAATACTTAAGAAATATAGACCGAAGAGCAGTGGTAATATTGGCGAATACACCCGGCAGGGCTTGGCACAAACTTTTTCTGTAGGAACCGAAAGGAGGGAGGGGTTCTAAAGCTTTTGTGCCTAGCCCTGAGGGGTGTATTTGACAATATTACCCCTGCTCTGAGGTCTATATTACGATTCGCACATGAAAACTCACCAAAATGTTTTGGGTGAAATATTGACTTTGTTTACAGAAGGCATGAATACAGTCATGTTCGAATTAAGAAATATAGACCGAAGAGCAGAGGTAATATTGTCGAATACACCCCGCAGGGCTAGGCACAAACGTTTTCTGTATCCTGAACGACCGAAGGGAGTGAGGGCTTCGAAAGCATTTGTGCCTAGCCCTAAGGGATATTACACCTGCTCTGAGGTCTATATTACAATTCGAACATGAAAAATCACCAAAATGTTTCGAATATTCATTATGGTCCGCCATTACTACGGTCTGCCGTTATGACGTCACACATTACACGTATTACCAGGGGCAATGTTCGCCAATATACCCCGGATGAAATGTTGACAGTTTATAGAAGGCGTGAATACAGTCATGTTCGAATTAATCATATTCCTTAGATAAAAACTTTTAAAACCTACGTCATGATTAGTGCTTCAAACAGCTTAAGTGTACACCCGTATATTTTGTCACTGTACGTTGTCTATGGTTAGGCGTGAGTATAACAAAGCGTAAAATGATGTTATGAATTTATCTCATATAAATAAAGAGTAACTGAGTAAATGAAATCTCAAAAAAATAAACCACATCATACCTCAATTGTCTGAAAACAATTAGCCCAACAGATATCCCAACCACATCAATAATAACCCTGAACGATTTCTAACATACCAGAGCTGATGTGCACTGACGGCAACATCACGATGCAAGCATCAGTTGTGTTCAGGCATCATGTGCAAAGTTCTTGAATTTCTCTCTCTCACTTTGAATTAAAAGTCTATGATTGCACTGTATTATAGTAAGTCCTTATTCCCCACCCATTAAGTCCAAGTTCTAGAAACTTGTCTTTGATACTTGCTTGTCGGAATGCATTGAGGCATTATAGTGTATAGGAAATGAGCGATTAATGTATAGTTAAAGGCACCAAGGCAAACAAGTCCATTATCGCCCAATTTCCCCACTTGTCATGGATATTATCAGATGCAATGAATTCAATCCCCCAACCAAGTCTATATAATGAAACCCCATTCACAGCATCACATTGGATTCTTTCATTAACACTTTCAATATGGCATAGATTAACTCAGTCCATATTAGTTCCATGAATTAACTAGATTAGAACTCAGTGCAGCTTCACAAAATAAAATGATCAGATGATCAATTTACTGGCGGAAACATGGATATTAAGTCCTTTGGGCAAATTCCATGTAAGATGGAAATGTCCATAATATGTGTGAAAGTGAAGGATATATGAAAATCACTCCATATCAATCACTACCACAATTCACTAAATAACACTGATCCAAACTCCTGAAAGAAAAGTTCTGATCGGAGACTTTCTTATATGATGATAATAATCACTTCTAGGCTGTTGCGATTCCTGAAATAAAGATATTAGTCCATGCTGTGCGAGCCACTGACTCTACAAGGGTCCCTCTACAGGACATTAGGGTCACTGCATTATTGTGGTAGCCCCTATGTAGGTGCATTGTCTAAATGTGTGAGCTATCACTTGTATGTTTGCATTGTCAATGAGATTGTCTCTGGAGATGTTGTTCTACACAGAGCAATGCATTAAATAGACACAGCACTTAGTGCCACTCATAGTCTTAGCACACAGCAGGTGTGACTTCGAATTGAACCCAGGGTGACTTTCAGTCAGTCAGCCAGCGCACGTTCCCTGCGTATTTAGACTTAGAGGACTGAAAAATTAAGCAGAGGGTTTTTATATGTAGGTGTCAATGAAGCTCATATGGCTTAGTTAGGACACAATACAAAGGACAACAATACCACATGAACAATGGTAAAATGTCTAGGTGAAAAGGTAGAGAAATGAATGTCCTTGTTCAGTGTTGCCAGGAATTTGACAATAAATGAGTATCATGTGGAATGAGACTGACAATTTTAAATGAGATAAAAACTTCAGAGATTTGATGTGCTTCCAAAAATTAGTTTGATTAGTTCTCACTTAGAATTATATAACTGATTCAATAAAATAATAAATATTTCACACCAAGGACTGAAAATCCTTTGGGGAACAGATGGGTGTAATGATATTCTAAAACTCTACAGAACCCTTTGTTGGTAAATGATGGTATTGATATATCTGGCTGGCAACACTGTTACTTGGGCACTATGATAAGAAAAACAGCAGACTGCTACTCCATCTATCGCACACATGGAAAACATCATCGTTATCACATTGTACTGCAACGAATCATCACTGCACTGTACTGCAGAGTCCCTGTGGAAATATCAGCCGGGTGAAAGTCCCGTAAAACAATAAACTAAATGTCCATAAAGGGAGTCTTCTAACCTATATTCTACATGGCCTCTATTCATTCGCTCTCTACCATAGTCTCTCCCTAATGCTTTAGCATGTTTAGCTTTACGTGCTATGGTTGTTATCTCAATGTTCTCATCCACAGGAAATAAACGGCACAATTCTTCTCCAACTGAAGGCTCAATATCCTGAAATCAAAGAACATAGAATATGTAAAAATATATATAGAAATCATAGAACAGAGAATATATATACATGTAGATTATGATAAAAGTACACATACTGTAATTATATCAATTTTATATAATCACTTTACAAGAACCAAACTTTTTGAATACAAAAAATAAAATAGTAGAAATTATTTTCACTAGAAAATATTTTCACTAACTGTCCAGTAGAAAGGTAGTATCAGGATATTTCACTACATTTAACACAAATCTAATGAGCAGTAAAAGTTGATGTCTAGTGAAGAGTTCAAATACATGAATAACAGAGAGAACAAGAGGCTTGTTTAATCTCACCTGTCCATCTCTTCCAATTTTCAGTGGTTTTCCATTGTTCCAAGGATTGCGCAAATGTCCAACTTTAGTGAATGGCAATTCTCTCCTGGAATACAAGAAGAAATAGTCAACCATATATCATTGATTATATCTGCATTTTACCATATTCTCACATATAAGTATTACTATTTGGATGAACTTTTCCTTCTATTATTCCTTAACTAAATACTTTCAATTTGAGAGTTCCAATTTTGAATATGAATCATATTCGCTTTTTATGCTTTATAGTTAGTTTTTATTTTGAAAATAATTTTAACTACTGGCCAATTAGAAAAGGCCTGATAATGAGAACATCCAGTAAATCTAAATCTTATGTTATACCTGTTGATCCAATCCAGCTTGAAGACTCCCGAGAGAGCTCTAGCTGTCATGCCTGGGGGGAGGACCCAGCGTATAGGGGGGTGGTCTTTGTCTGAGAGAGCTGCTACACGTGCATAGCCTGAAATGCAGAGATTGATATTTAGCGCTACTTTAATGACTAGTTGCAGGGTCACAATATCAAAATTTTTTTCTTGAGAAACATATTTAACAAATGCTCAGATTCCCTTCACCCACTATCGATGAACATTATTGAATCTTATAAGTCAAATAACTGTCCAGTGTCCACTGTGTTCAATGCTTTTCAGTTATATTTTACAGTTACAAATAATCAAAATGAGTTTGAACACAAACAAGACCACGAGATATCTTACCTTGGAATTTTCCACTTTCTTTTACAGAAAAGATCAAGATAACATTCTTGTGTTCCTAAAACAAGGAAAATATCAGGGTTAATCATGGTTTGGGGATATACAAAAATTGTTATGCCAGACAAATATAAATTAACAAGGCAAGTACAAGTGACATAAGTTCAATCTAGAGTATAATTGATTCTAGCTATTTCAATGCCTCTTATATCTGATTTACCAACTAACTGAATGAAATATTACTTTCTACACGGTGCCCTAAACTAATTGTTTTACACAACTTCAAAGACTTATTCTCCAGTCAACCAATGATTGGTAATTAGGGGTTATACTGCTTTAGTTACTATTATGATAAAAATGAACTTTTCTAACTACTAAAGAACATGGTTAAAGTGTCTCACTCTGTAGGCATTGTTGAGTTTCTGTTCATTTTGTGGTGGGGTTGACCAGACTCCTTTAGCCTTGGCCAGTGCAACATTCTCACTGTTGTTGCTTTTGATGAGGTAAAACCTGGCATCACGGAACATGTACTTCAAATAGCGACCTTGAGCTGGAAGATAAAACAACATGTTCTTGTAGATTTTGATTGGTCATAGAGCAGTCAATAGTAATAGTGAACTGTGATCTCAGATTACATTGTCAGAATATAATATTTTTGATAGTAGTCGTAGGTCAATAATATACACTAATATTCAGTGAATATTGTCAAACATTTTCCAAATACAAATGCACCACCATCATTTTGGACTTAATTGTGTGAGCATTGATCGACTAAATTCTTCTCAGAGACATTAAATGAAGGGAATCTATTGTGGTCTTCTGATCCTGATAGACCCCCATGAGGAATTGCACATAAAAAGTTTACCTGATAATATAAAGTACTACTCACCTACACCAGCAGTTATAATATAAAGTACTACTCACCTACACCAGCAGTTATAATATAAAGTACTACTCACCTACACCAGCAGTTATAATATAAAGTACTACTCACCTACACCAGCAGTTATAATATAAAGTACTACTCACCTACACCAGCAGTTATAATATAAAGTACTACTCACCTACACCAGCAGTTATAATATAAAGTACTACTCACCTACACCTGCAGTTATAATATAAAGTACTACTCACCTACACCAGCAGTTATAATATAAAGTACTACTCACCTACACCAGCAGTTACATTAGAAGTGGACTCCTCTACAGGTTTACTTTCTGCCTCAGCTGCAGCAACTACAAAAATACAACATCTTACATTATAGTATGATACACACATATTACATGATATGATACTACATTTCATGATACATTATAGTATGATACACACATATTACATGATATGATACTACATTTCATCATACATTAAATGATGAACACATTGAAATAATCAACAGCATATAGTATTCACATAAGAGAGTTACTTATTAAGCTGTATTTACGTTATTTCTACTGAATGTCACTTCATCCTTATTTCTCAGTCTTCACAATGTGGTGAGGAAATAAGAAGGACTAAGGAGAGACTTGATGAATGACAATAAAAACTGAACTGGCTAGACATACCATCTTCTGATTCATCTCTCTCAGGAAAAGCTATGGGGGAGATACTACGGTTGCTATCCGCACGGCTCCTGTTTCCCTCTGGCTTCTCATCATTTTCAGATTCTAAAAAGAAGTCATAGAGAACCAAAATGTACAAATGTTATACACCAATGAGAGTCTTGTTTGGTGATTATTTATTGCCATAACTTGTAAAATGTTAAAAAGGAATGGATATTGCTTACAATCTCAACACAAGGCATGAACATGCAAAATGTCACCACTTGCTATTTCTTACAGATGCTGAACACATTATCCACAAAGTCAATTTCTTGTCAATCTCACAGGGGCTATAAACCAGAAATCATGATACCCAAGTGGGCATGGTTGTATCATAGCTAACACAAGGGACTAAATGTATTAGTGACCTTAGTGGTGCTATGATCAGCTCAACACAGAGCCTCAAAAGATCACAGTAACAGTATGTTGAGGTCTGGTAGCTTTGAATCTGAGGATAACTTTTGTATTAGATCGATCAACTATGAAAAAAATGTTCTGTTCTGAGTTGTACCTGATAGGCTGCTCTCGGAGAATCCACTCCCAGCTTCACTCCTGGTGTCATAACCCTTAATAGTCTCACCCCCTAGGTCATCTCCAAGGTCCATATTGACCTCATCATCATGGTCTACAAATATAGCAGTAAACTACTAATACAATGCAGGCACATGAGAAAATACATTTTGTTCAAAGGTCATTATATCATAAAATCTAGAATCAGATCTTAATAAAAAGATACCAAAAACTGTTTCAATTTTAGAATATTTGGGTCCATATCATTCCTAATCATGTTGTTTTCACGAGAGAAACCAATGATATTATTTACTTTTGTTTAAGAAAAGACTGTCACAAGAAGCAAATATGATGTAAACTTAAGAGTAAATCAAAAGTATTATCCATTTGTAACAATAATATCATGGACATCATTCCTTGAGGTTAATAGACACAAAAACACACTGGTCAAAAAGACCAGTAATTATGCAACTTCTGCTGGTCCCGTACTAAGTGGTCTGTGACCGCTGGGAAGGCTGTTAATGACTACACTGATCATAACATGGAGACAGTCCTTATAAGCAAAGTATGGCTATTACTGCAACATCAACATAATTGATATGTTGAAAGATAAAGGTTCCTAATAACATGATTCCAGTGCTACACTTAAAAGACTTTGGTAAAACATAAAGGGTGACCTTTATATGAATTGATTGATACTTCAAATTTGGCTGCTGAAAGGCATGCAAAATAAATTGAAAATATGATTAACAAGCTGATAATCGAACAACATCAAATAAAAAGAAATGTTGAAATCACGCAAAACGAAGAAATATACTTGGTGAACTGAAACTTAAATCTATTGCTGGTAACATGCATTAATAATTAAACATATATTGTACAATAAATATCAGTGGTCTCGCCCAGTTGAAAATTAAAAGTAGCAATTGAAATACCTCATTGGTTGAGAATTTGTAAAATCACAAAAAATGAATCAGTTCTGAACATTCTTTATAAAAGAATAATTCAAATTAAAGTTTTGCATCCACCTAAGAAAACATTCTGAGGAGAACAATGATATATAAAAAGAATACAAAGTTGTAATAATAACACATATATCATATACACATATGTACTTGGTAGTCTTCCATTAAACTAAACTACATGTAGATCTATGACAATTGAACTGAACAAAATTGAATATAACCGCAAAACAAGGTAAGACTATAATGTACATATTTGTTCAAATAATACTTACCCGATTTTCGAGGGGATTTTGACTTGTCCGATTTCTTCGAACTTGCCTTCAACCCTAAAATATTAGGACCATGACATCTTGTCAGATGTGACGTATTACTCAAGACATAAAATGTAATGCAGCAATCAAATATATTGTATAAAGCTCAAAGTTCTGAGGTTTTGAATAGCAAATATATAACAGTGAATCATTTGAATATACATACCATCGGGACTTTTCAAAAGCTCCTCTTCCATCTTTAATTTCCGCAATGTCTCTTCTCGCTCTTTATTTTCCTTTTCTAACTGTTTCCTCCTTCGTTCCATATCCTTTAACTTCTTGTCCTTTTCCTCTCCATCTACGTCCATAGTGCCTTCACTTTTTCTTTTCTTTGCTCCGTTTAATTTAGTTTTTGAATGTTTCTTTGCTGGAAGACAGACAGCATTATGAATTCATTTTGTACCTGATGGAATTCATCCATTTTTATCACTGCTTTTGTAGCATAAAAAGTATGAGTATAAATATGTTTACACTATAGCATAAATATTAACAACAGGTTAATATTTAAGAAATATTACATTTTGTTTTAATAATATACCTTTTTGGGAATCTGCTTCAAATTCTTCGTCAACTTGATGGTCTAGGATATTGTCTAAGAAATTTAAGTCAGCATCAATTTCATCTAGAAACAAACAAACAAATTCTAATAACAAGATGGCTGCCACGCTTTTTTTTAAATTAGATTTTCATCTAAATCAATATCCATTAATTTTTTTGCATTTAAAACATGTTCTGTACCTAATATACTGTAAAATCAACACTAAAATGGTGGTCATTTTGAAACTGAAAGCCATTTTCAAATTTGGCATAAGAAAGTTATAGAAATATTTTTTCGATTCAATTTTTCTTCCTGAGCATACTGACTTCACTCTCATGTTTGGCTGACTTCATGTAACCTAGGGTTGCCGGAGGACATAGAACATACTGGTAAGTAGATGCGTGGTAATGTCATCTCATTTTCTTATTTTTGTAAATCAAACTTCTAAAGGGAACATTGACTCCTACCCCCATGAATGTGGGAGTGTTTTGCCTTTTTCTTACTTTTGACATTTAGTGAAAGCGAAACCCCCCCACAAATGTTAGCCATTAAAATCTTGTAGAAGGCATACAGTATTTCTTTTTTTGGTGTTCGTGTTTTTGCTGTATCTGCAATCATTTTTGAAGTTTTTCTACAGAAATATTTTTGCTTGACAATGATCAGGTAAAATGCGTATTTGTGTGACATTTTGTGTCAAAAACTGGTGTGACTTCAGATTTTCCAGCAAATTCATGACAAATATGCAAATTGCGGGACAGTTGGACGGCTTGAAATTGTTAAACTCAGCTAAACATGACACTGAAGGCAGTATTCTGAGGTTATAAAATATAGATCGAAATAATTTCCCATTTGTAGCACCTTGGACCACTTCCTGAATGGAACAGAACGTTGCCACCTTTCAACTTAAGTTCGTCATCACTTTATATGTAGGGTTTTAATTTACTAATTTCAATGCATCATTACAGGTCTTTATGATTCATAAATCCTAGCGTAATATCTTGAATAAAGTTGATTTTAAATAGTCAGTAGCTTCGGGGGCCCTTCCTACAATATTTGACATTGCTATCTTGGACATTGTATATTTCAGATAGTAATGTATAATGTGCAGCAAAGCTGTGGCCTATTGTAATTTAGGGAGTTCCAGCCATGTTCATTTTTCCGAAAATAACATGGCAGAGAAGTATCAAAATATAATACAAAAGTTAGGATAAATATAAATGTTTCTATTTTTACATAAACTGTTTCAATATGGTCATTTGATTGATTATTTTTTAATTCAAAGTAGTCACAAACAAACTGTTTTGACTAGAGTCCATTTCACTGCTTCATTGCGTCAGTAGAACGGCAAAAATAAGAAATTGGGAGACCATTGTGCAATAATATATGGAAAAGTATATTCATTATTTGTATATTTCAGATTTTTTTGTTTTTTGTGCAATAGACTAAGCCTGTGCCGTCTTGTAATTTGAAGAATTTCAGCCATGTTAATCTTATTGAAAATAACATGGCAGAGAAGCATCCAAATATAAACGCAGGTAAAAATTGTCTACATTTGTCTACAATTCTTTCCATATTCTTCAGATTTCTCTTTCTCAGCAAGTAGATCTAGTTTATCCCGTTCCCGGACTATAGTCCTGCACTGATCGCATTCATTTGCCTGTACGATTACAACTTGGGAGAATTATCTACGCCCCTTACACTTAAGATACCTACCTCAATGCATTATAGAACTCAAGATGTAACTTCTAATATATTGGAACCGCCGATTGTCTGGGTATATCGGCAGAACGGGAACATTTTCTCTTTTTCATCGAGAGAGATTCCATCACTTTTCAAAATGGCGGTTGGATTTAAAAGGGGAATCCCCCGTTTGGCTGTCCCGGATGTAGCTCGGAAGTACCAATATGGAGGAATTTGACGGTTGAAATAAGTTAAATGTTACACGCAAATATTGCGATCAAAAACGAAAATGTCTTCGTTCTGCCGATAAACCCAGACAATTGTGGATTCAACTACACGAAAATAATGCTAAATTACCAAGGAATCTATTAAAGTAGGTATCTGAAGTGTGAGATCACTAAAAAATTCTCCCATGTTGTAATCGCACAGGCAAAAGATTGAGATGTTCACAGGACCATAGTCCGGGAACGGGATAAGATCTAGTGGTTGGATTGCTACCATTTTGGGTAAACTTGCTCTGTAGACGTAGGTAGTGAAGGGTAAGTCTTATTTGAAGCAGCATGTCGATTATTGAAAAGGATTCCGTATATTTTTACGAGATATATCTGACATGATTTTTGTACAATTTTCAGGAAGCATCAACATTTGCTTTGCTGACAGAGGAAACATAAGAAAATGTATCTAATTCTACTTTCAAAATCGAGTTTTTTTGTCTCTTTTTCCCGAAAATTTTTACGAACAAAACACAAAAATCTCGACTTGTTTACCTTTATTTTCATCAATAAGAGCTTCGCTCATCCTCAGAAATCCAGCCCAAAATGTAGTTCTCGTACTCCGAATCACTTTATTTATATAAATGCAAATATGATTCCCTAGTTATATAGGAAATTACAGTTAAACAAGGCCACGCTATCGATTAACGAATATTAAAGATGGCGACGCTTCTCGAATTAAGGAAACGAGATTTCACGGGATTAATTTTACGCGAGAAATAAATATATGATGATAAGACACCGGGATGATAATCATGCGCATTTTTAATAGTAATTATATTGATCCCCGGATTTAAATTCAATGAAAATAGTCATAACCACTACGTGATATACAACATGATTTTTTAATATTCCAGCATATTTCCAAAGATTTACTCTCTCTTCAGTGGTGGATCAGTTGGGGGGGGGGGGGGTGAGAACATTTCAAGTTAGTCCAACAACATTAGACCTAGCCCGGGCCTCGTTTCTTATCTCAATAATGGCCCCAAGAAAATTCCTAATAATAAAGAACGCCGTTATTGAGTTTAACGACGTTGAACTAATTTCAAGTCAGAAAAAAATTTCTGGGGAGAGGGGCTCCTTACCAGTTCTTCTAAGTAGCTACTACAGAAGAATTGGCTAGAGACTCGAAAGGGGCTCCCCTCTTGATCCACCAGTGCTCTTTGCTACTGATTTAACTCTCAGCCTCTCATGAGTCACCTCTTTCAATTGTTCAAAGACTGGTCTCATACAGGGTGACCGGAAAAAGGAGACCATTGAAGTAGACACTATCTCCTAAACTAGACAAGTGGCATCAATGAAATTTGGCACACATCGGAACAGTTCTATGATATTGCCTACTTCAATGGTCTCCTTTTTCCCAGTCACCCTGTAGATTATTAATTCTATCAGATCAATAAGGCTTTGAAACATGTGCATCAGTTATAGGTTGGTAACCTGACATACATACATGTATAGTTAGAAAAGATCTAATTAAACCAAACACATAAATATTAAGTCTTTGGTAAACTAAATATTATATTATGATTATCAAAGAGTATCCATAATACTTTGATCAAGTCCCATAGAAGAACGCACCATCTTTTCTTTTATACTGCAAATACCCAGGAAAGAAAAGGGCAAAATTGAAGAGTTTTAACGGATTCATATTGATTGAACATAAATTATTTAACCAATAGTTATATCAGAGGGATCTGAAGTCAATAAATATTTTAGTGATGTGGTCTCCACTTCAGTCACTACAGATATTAAGTTGCACCATGAACCACACTGTGGCCAAGCAATCAAGAGTGCAATATACTGAGAGCGTGATGAGAGTGAATAAAACATACCATATACTTGCTACATAAAATAAGAATGATGTCATCAATAAAATGAATGTTACTGTACAAGTGTTCTCAACAAATAGAAAGTAAGTTATAATTATTTTATTTCACTTTGATTTATTAATATTATAATACTTTTTTCTTGTTGCCGTAAATAAATAAATGTTTAGCATGTCATGCATGTACATTCACATTTCTAATGCAAAGTTTTTAAGCTCCATGCAATGTTTATGGAAAATAAACTAAGATTCTGTATTGACCAGAAAATCTATTAGTGTATGTAATTAGCTATTTTGAGAATATAGGAAACATAAAAGTCTGGATCCATTCTTTTACAAAAACTTTAACAAATATTAAAATTACTCTTGCCTATTTCCAAGACAATAAATCAATATATATATGTTTGGTAGATACATACTCATGATGCTGCAACTGATATCGTTCATCCCTGATGCAATGATAATAAAGTTAGGGGGCATGTCAAACATTAATGTTTTTACAAGTAATACCATACAGGAGATGTATAGAAAATTCACTTTTAATAATAAAGAAAAAATTCAGTTAGAAATTCAATTCATAAATTCAATTTTAACTAATTTCCCTTTAATGTCTACAAGTTTCCAGGATAATTAGATGGTCTTATCCTTAGGTTAATCATTTTCTCTAAAATTGACATGATCTGGTCCCTCGTGTGCCTATGGCTAGTACCTGTCAACACTGTCACATACGACATATATCTACTAATACATTGAATAGATTAATGGTGAAGCAGGTAAGTGAGGTATAATTTGACAACGTCACTGATTAAGACAACATTATTGAACATATGGATTTTGGAATACAATTCTAAATATTTCAATTCAAGGTAAAGGAGTAGAATTACATAATCTGAATTCTTTTATATAATTTTATACATGGAGGTAATGTTGTTTAAACAAAAAGATTAAAATGGACAAAGATGCCTAAAATATACCATGCAATATGAAAAAGAAAAACAGTTTTAATTACAAAATACACATACTCTAAAATAATGGATTATTGGGTCTTTTTGTACAGTTTTTGTACATACCTAATATCAAATTCAATTTAATTTAATTAATTCAATTTAATGACTGTGAAAGCAGATTTTATATTTTCAATTAATATTTTTTGTTACCCTGAACTTCCACTGGCTAGGTACACTACCCTCTGACTATAAGTTAACAACAGTTGATTAATTGTTTCAATGCTGTTAAGGTCTTAATAATCTCAAAGGCAGCTTTCATGGAATATATAGGAGCTTGAATATGTAATGAATGTTAGCTTTTTATTGGCAGAAAATATGGTGGAATGATTTTCTAACTACATGATTAGAGATAGAGGTTATATTAAAGCATTATCTCTCATTTCAAGAGCCATTACACAAAGTGGAGCTCTTGGAAAAGCCATACACATCAAATGCTGTTACAATTTTCTGACTATCATGATAAACCATGACATCTAATTTTTCTTCTCAGCCTTGACATGTTGCTGATGAAACAGAAAGATGCTATGAGGTAAAAATGATTTTTGACCATGATGTGATGTATTAATTATCATGAAAGACCCATCTGCTTGTATTATCTGCTTGTTGATCACCTTGATAGACATGATACTATTTCATCGTATATCTTAATATGTCTAATATGTGCTAAGAATTCATGATGAAGAAATTGACTTAGAGAATGCAGGTTAAAATAATTATTATGTTCATGGTTTCCTGTTTACAATAGATCTATACTAGCAAGATCATCATGGACTTTACTTCATTTTTGACTAGGCCTATTTAATAAGTGAAGTTTTAAAAGAATATTTTGTAAAAATAAATCAATAGTTGAATTTAGTATTTTATTCACAATAAGTGTCTTTTATAGAAATAAATTCCAGAGTTGAAAAGATTTATTGAAAAAATGAAATCATTCAAAACTATAGAAGTCTTATAATTCTTTAATCAAGGCCTTGGTTGAATAGTCTCAAAGATTTAGATATTGGGCTGACACGGACTTTGTGTTTGCTAATGCAGGTTCGACATGAAATTCCATAGAACTCAGCTCCACGGCATTCACTTACCACCTTAATTCCATACACTATTGAGAGCAACGCAAATAACCTGATGAATGACGGTAAATATACACACTTTGAGTTTCTTTACATTCATAATATAATACAAACATTTTTTTTCTACATAGGGTTACTGAGGCTATAGGGCGTTAAATATGACTGCTTAAAGATGGGTGGAGACATGATGCGGACATCTGGAGGTTTTCAAAGGTAAATCAATAGTTTTTAGCAATTATAGATAGGATTAAACAAAATCAATGAATTAAGTATGTGTTTTAATGGATTATTATACAAATATGTTGTTAAATTAATCCATAACTAAATAAAAGTGTCAATCATGAATCTGATTTCCTTTCAATCATATCATACAGTAAACCAGTACATTGATATTTTGAAAATATACTGAAAAATATATTCATTTTTACCAATATTTTCATAGTCCCATTCATTTCTATGCTACACGCTCCATTAAAATATCAAAATATGAAACTTTTAAAAATAAGTATCCAAATTAAAAAGTGGTTTATGATACATCCCATATTTTTATGAAATCATAAACTATATCTGGTATATATGACTAATGGTTTTGTTTAAGTGAACTCCCTTTATTGAAATACTAGAGTTTAAATGTCCTCACACTGTTCCAAGTCAGGGTTATTTTAATACATGTAGTATTACATTTAACAGTTGTAATATAGGATGACAGCAAGTACGTAATAAATATAATTGTTGACAACTTAACTTTAGTTAACATGAAATACTAATCGAGGTTGATTATTTGGTAATGCATTTTTGCTTTGAATTTTGAATTTAAATGTATTTTAATATCTTATTAATGTTTTTAATATGTTGAGGACTACAAGTACATTTTAACAGGGGTTCCTCTTCACTGATTTAAAACAGGCAAATCAACTTTTAAGTTTAAAAGATGAAAGTACTATAACTTACGAGTATTTAATATAAGGCCTTCAAATACTTCAATACACTAACACTAGTTGAATTGAACCATAAAAAAACAGGCATATAAATTGCAATATTAAAGTTTTATATGCAGTCACAGTGTTTGTATATCGCAAAAGAAAAACTTGTCAGCTAATGCTCTTACTCTCTCAAAAAGCCGATTAAATAGCAACTCAGGTCATACAAGTAAATCTTAGCCATACATTTCCAAACTAGGGAATCATACACACAAGCACTTTCATTTTTTACATTGAGGATTGAGTCCTTGTTAAGTACTTGATCTTTTCTTCATCCTTGGAAAAATCTAATCCTTAGCACTTAGACATTTCATTTGAACATCAGGTGATATATTGCAAATATAATAAGCTACATGTACATAGTAAATTGAATTATTTTGCTTTTGACAAAATAAACTTTGATATTTAAATATACTGGTATTAATAAAAGATGTGTAACTGAACTTTTATATCTTTTCAGGATAGACTGACTTCTAATACATGACATACTAATCAAAAGTAAAGATGACTGAAAGAAAAATACCACATGTTAAGGACATTTTTGGTGGTGGAAAGGCTGGAAAGTTCAAGTACAGTGACTATGATGGCAAAGCTAAACAAAAAGAAGATGTTGAAACAACAGAAGTTGTAGATGCTAAACTTCAAATTCTATCACACCCAGATTTTGATGTTACCCAGAAAAACCCAGAATATAAGAAGAAGTCCTTTGCCCAGTTAGCAGACCGTAAACTGCTAGGAGCTCATGGTAAAGGTCCAGCCCCCCAGGCTCCATCGCAATATGGGAACTATGAAAAACAACATGATGATACTGGTATAGATGGCACAGGGGTAGAAGGCATTCTCCCTGGAATACAAAGGATGCCTCCTACAGACTTTAACCACAATGATAGGGATGGTGATTCAGACTATGATGAAGGGTTCCCAAATGTGAGTGGAAATGGTTTTCCAGATATGAATGGATTTCTCAGCAGTATGTCAAGCAGTTCAAAATATAACCCAATTTTTGAGGATAAACAAACACGTGAATCAGAGCACAATAGAGTGAACCGGAATGTCCCTGCTTTTATGTCCATATTTACTGAACCAGAAATTGACAATGATGGTGAAAATGTGACGTCAAATGAGGATCTATATAAAGAGGATGCCTATGAATTATCTGAAAGGGACAAAGAGAATTTAACAGGAGGACCTGTAACAAGTGACGATACAACACCAGTACCTCCTCCGAGAAAAAACAAAATGGTGCGAAATAAAGCACCAGACAAGGAAGGATATGAAATTGAAGAAGAAGTGATGGAATTTTCAAGTGAGAGCGATGATGAGAATAAAGCAGGTGGCACAAATATCTATCAACAATATGATGGAGATGATTTTGGACAGTATATTGATAGTGATGTTGAGGAGGACTCTGGGATAGGTGATGATGGCACAACAAGGAGACGTACCATCACGCAACCTCATATGAAGCAGCAAAGACCCGCTAAACCCGTACCACTGCCTCCTAGGCAGTCAAGCAGAGGGGGCATCGCATTGAAAAAGAAGCTGGATAAATCACTCTCTGGGGCTCATAAGCCTAAACGATATGGAAGTTCACTGCATAATTACAGCTATGCAGACACTAAAATAGGCACCGAAGATGTCTATGGTAAAAAGATGTCTCTAATGAAAAACAAAGGTCGTCCTGAGGATGATCGTGAAAATACAAAACTTTGGTGGAGTTATGACATGCTTTCTGCTCAGACAAGTGACAATAACGTTGAAGTTTTGTATAAATCACAACGAAAAAACAATGCTGGTGAACTATTAGCAGAGATTGCTGGAAACAACAAAAAGAGTAACAGAGAAATGATAGTGCCATCTACAAGCTATAATGATAACTTTGAGTCGTTGAGGAAGGAGATTCAATATGATGCTCCTCTAATTCCTAAGAAAGAGAGTCCTCTAAAGAAACTGACAGGATCTATCAGGGCTAGAACCAGCCAGGAGGTGAATATTTATGCTAATGCTGCAGCTAATCCTATCTACCATGACATTCACGACAAAACAGGTTCTCATTTTTAAAAAGCACTAGCAATCTCAAAAAACATATCAGCTTCTACTTAGACTTTTCTTGTGAAATTCACAGTGGCTTCGAAAATGATGAATGAGATTGCGACTGCCATGACCAAACATGAAATGAATATACAAACTGTACCCCACAACTATTTTCTGGGGCAGACTTCTCAAGCACTATTTTTTCTGTATTTTATTAAGGATAACCTCAGATTTTTCATTGATATGTCTTTTCCCATCTAAAAATAATTTCCCCTGTCTCAAGTGACTGAATCAACAGACACATGTAATATTCCACCTCCGAACGCTCAGTCTTCACTGCGTTCACACAAAAACTGAGTGAAGGAAGATGGTAGTATTCACAAATCAATGAAAATCATATCTGAACAGCTTATTTTGGCTAATGATAACATCTGATATGCATTACCACAACCATGGGACAAAAACAAGTGAAGCACATTACAAAGACATACATGTAGATTTCAATAAGAAGTCCCACCAGATCCTAAATGCCCCTCCCCCATCTTATATGTTTATGAGAGGACAGGGGTGGTATGAGGGGGAAGATACGACTCAAGAATATGATTTGTAGAGTGCCAGTGTGTCAATACAGTGCAGTAGTAGAATTGACTACAGTATGATAAACATAGCTAAAACACAACTCATGTATATAAAGTCAAAATTGTATATGAATATGGTTGTCTTATTTCAAGCCCTTGTAATTCCCACGTGAATATATCTCACATCCACTGGTGAAGTAATTGAGAGGGCAAAGGGAGACTTGAAACAATACAAGACTAACAAAGTAAAAGTGCACATTGGATATAACTGATATAAATGCAATTAATATCAGAATATAAGACCAGTGGATTAAACTACTTTTAAATTACAATTCAATTTTTCCTGATCTTACACATATGAAAATGAAAACTTATTTTTATTTACATGTATGTATTATGTTGATAGGAAATACAACATATTTATCTTAAAATGTTGTTGATTATCTTTAATGACAACATCCCAGATTTTTTATGTACTTGATGATCGGATATTATTATAATGATGTATTTATCCTTACATTGCCCATGTATAAAATGCTTAATGTTATGTTAAAAGATGAATTCAAATTCACATAAAAATACATAAACATTGAGCAAGTAAAATAAGCCGAGTGCCTGAGTTCCTCACACTGAGATGTAAATAATTCACAAAATGCAGAATTCCTATATGAATGAAAGAATGTAATTGAATATATTGAAGACAATTCATACTTCCAGGTCTATGGCCATCTGTCTTAGTGTCTTTACGAACATAGACATCCATTCAAAACTTTATTCAAAATTTAAGTGCATAACTGTATCATGAGGTCACAAAACTATTCTAAGTCGGTTCAACATTTTGAAAGAAAAGCTTTCGTGAGAATTTTCATATCCCCCAGGTTTTTGTTTGGCTATCTTATTTTAGTAACTAAACGTACAATATGTATACAACATGACAGATACATGATCTAATATGAAAGACCTAAACCCTCTCATGGATCAAGGAACATTGATGAACCATTCTGATTTGTTAAAAAGGTTGTATACAAATATAGTTTTCTTCCCGAACAATGGATTTCAACCTGTGACAGGATTCACCCTAAAGAGACATGGGATATATTTGATGCATTACTATTTTATAGTGGCATTAAAACAATCAATAGTTTAAGGGCATTGCTTTTTGATAAAGAAAGCTGGTTGAAATGATGTGAAGAGTGATTTTTCCTCCAAAAAGTCATTTTATACATGTTAATAGAATGACCTATATTTTGAAATATAAAGGTCAGAATAACCTAATTTTTGGACAACAAAGTGAAAACATGTAAAAGGTTTGGTGCAATACCATCCCCATTACAGTAGGTCACCAAAAAGACAATTCAATTTCAAACTTATAATCTGTTTAACCCAAAATACTTAAAAAACACATGAAAATGATACATTTTGAGTATAATACAATAACTTTTATTTTAATAAATTACAAACACATTTGTATTATGATCATGTTACAATTCAATTACAATTTGTGTACATTATACTATGATGTAAATGCACATATCAGTTATAATACATTTAATACACAATGACTGTGTGTAAGTGACCTTGCTTGGAAGACCATCGGAAAATAAATAATAACTAGATGTACAAACTAAAAGAATAAAATAATGACAAATACAATATGTCATACTGCACATTAAACACCTGGCTTTTCCTTATCTTATAGAATACATAAATATATGTATGAACATTGAACATACATAGAAGAAATGGTCCAACTTCTCAAACTATCATCCTAAACGGTTTAAATATACAGGTTTTCTCGGAAAGAATCATTTTGAATATAAAAGCAATTATTGTTCTGAAAAATATTCACATGATGAGTGAAATGTATGAAGCATATCTCGGATCGGAACAACTGGAAACTCTTTGTGTGATAATTAGGATGACTGGTGCGATGATAAAGACCACTTCCTATAGTCTTGTATAAAGCCCAAGTATTACCCCCTTCTTTCTGTTCCACTTGACTTGATGCAAGACTACTGTAGACACAAAATACAAAAATATAAACATACATATTAATGTCCAATGGTACACATCTTTGTTATATTGTAGTACCAACATCACAATACATCATACTTTAGCATATAACATATAGAGGGTGACACAAAAAATGCCAAACACTTATTTTAGAATAACTATCAATAATGAAGGAATCTTCATGATTTTTATTTGAAGATAGTGTTCGGTGGATTAAAGATTGGCTACTTGCATAGCATCAACAACTTGGAAATTAAGATCCCTTCATAATCAGGAAAGTTATTCCTAAATTAGTGGGTGGGATTATTTGAGTCACCCTGTACCATTTATAACTTAATATATTCCCCTTTTAAATAGGCCTATAAAGGAAGGTTTGATATTGTAGAATAGCCTACATGAAACATGCAAGGTCACCACTGAGCAACCACTGTTTATGAGGGTGGAAAGAGAAGTCAACAAATAAACTTTTATTTAAAAAATTAAAGAATATGAAGAATGACATTCTGAAAAAAGAAAGTTCAACCATGATTCTGGATTCACTCTTTCTTGTGTTGAATGTGATTTAATGGAAAGATGGGGAAACAAAACAGAAAAATACTAATGAATACTAATCAAAACAAACAAAAATAAAAACAAATTAAGCAAATGTGCCCAGCGAATTATATATAACTTTTTGAATATGCAACCCATGTTTAGATGATTATAAAATGTAAAACAGATCCAAAGAGCAATATTCTAAAGACTTATTGATTTAGTATCTTTGTTTGTCCAGGATCATTCCTTGTCATGCCTCTTTCCTAAAAATCTCAAAACTTCATAGCTTTTCATTTTTGCTCCAAAGTAATAAATATGTACATGTATATGCAAATTTAATACTTTGGCTTCACTGGTATTATACTGAGAATTGATGCAAAATGTTCTCATCACACATTCAGGTTTTAAGTAAACCTGTATAAAATCCTCAAAGACTTTATGACAAGATATCATTGATATTTTTTGAAATATTATAATTTGATTAGTGAAGGTCACATTGGTTAGAAAAAGGTCACATTGGTTAGAAAATCTTAATTGTTGCTTGCAATTTTACCATTCTCAATATCTATGATTTCATCTGCCTTGTCATGAGTACACTTTATATGAGATTATTACTATAGATGTCACTACCTCATGAGTGTATATAGAATATTAATTCTTCATAACCAATCCATCATTTTTACAGACACTGATACAAAGAGATAACCACAGGAGAAATAGTCCATTTTGAATTATATGAAGTTGTAGTGAAACTTACTATATGCAGTGTATACCTTATACACATACTCCTGTTGATTTTTAATTACTTTTTTTGTACTTCTATTCTATAATAAAGCTAAGTTCAAAAAGATTTATTCATTGATTTTCTGATTTTGTTTGTATGGTGCCATTATTTGTTTGGCCAATGTTCAAAATGCATGTTAAGCAAAGACATGAAGCTAAAGAATGTCCCCGATATAAGATTAGAACTAGTAGCAGATAGGGCAAATCTGCTGACTCATTAGTCACAGTCTATGTCTTCATAATTTCCACTGCATGACCTGAAAAGCAGAAATAAAAACAACATAAACACCAACAGCACCTAATGACAATATACACACCACATAGGGGTAGCCAGGTGCGATCGCATCCCCCATAAAAATATACCCATGAGATATAGGAAGAAAAGAGGTTTAAAATGCTTTTTATTTGAATCTTTGAAGAGTTGCTTCAATTTTGTATCAAGATAAATCTTAATTTTTTAGGTTGTTTATGCCACAATCGCACCCCCCCCGACTGAAAACCTAATTTTTTTGGCGATCGCACCCCCCCAGACTGAAAGCTGGCTATGCCCCTGCCCCAACAGCACCTAATGAAGAAACAGAGGAACATAGGCAGGATTACATAATGCAGTAAAATGCACCAGATGGTTCAATGCCTTCTTTCAAGTATAATTGCTCATTCAATTCATTGCTCATTTGAAAGACAAATCAAATGTTTTTACCACTGATCACCATATATTTTGTATAGAAAGCATGTTGATTAAACTCACGAAGTGCATTTTAGCACATTAAATATTAAGTCTTAAAAATAAAGAGTATTCTATCAAATTTTGATGAATCTTTATATGATTTGTTTACTGCCAAGACAGGTGCCCCATCCAATCCTGACAAAGGCTCTGAAAGGCAAAGGGATTCTACAATGCCCATTTTTCATTGTCTTGCTTCAAATCCTTGCGGTCCCCTCTGAAACCCTCAGGCAAAGTAGATAGAGGATGGGGTCTAGATATTTGATCTAGAGATCCTGCCCAAGATTCTAGAAAGTCCACTAAAGAGCTATGGAGAAAATACCAATAAGATAATGAAACTTTCAGACAGGAAAAAGAAAGAACAATGGTATATGCAAGATATGGCTCATAATGCATAAAGTTAAGTTGCAGTAAAATGGTTACAATATAATACAAATACATGTACCTTATATTGCCTTTGAGCATAATTACTCCTATAGTTAACAAGGTAACTGCATATCATTCTTACGGTATCATTATAAGGCTCAATAATAATCTTACTATTTACAATCTTTTGATTGATGAAATATTGCTTTTATTTACATATTCCATATACATATTCTTTAAATTAAAAGTAATACCCTCTGGCATAATGACACCTTTCCATTAACATAAATGTTGCTAGCTAATTACAAAAGCTCAGTCTCTAACTTTGACCCCATATACCCCAAAAAGAGGAGAGAAGAAGGATTGTATCAGTCTTTAGATTGTACAAATTATCTTTAATCTTCTTTAATTTTGGTGTATTTAAGGATCCAAGTTAAAGTCCTTTAAGATGAAACAAGATTACAAATGATATCCAGAAGATATCCAGGGAGAGCGTCCCCATTTATGACAGGAGTTCTTCAGTATCCTTTTGGTTCTATTTCTACAAAATCCATAATTTCTTTTGGAACTGGACATCATCATG